TGAATTTAGTAATGAAGCAGTATTAATAACAAGTGAAAGAATGATGTATAGTATCGAATAGCGCGCACAGTTGTATAGTCCTTAAGGACCTTCTCAGAAAACGACTTCTGCATCCTAATTCTTCTGCAATTTCATTTAGTCGTTGTTTCTGATATAAAGCTTAAGTCAAATGTTGTGGCTCTTGAAAAAGTTCTGATAAATCACAGCTGAAAGAACTTGAACAGAAAGTCAAATTTGCTGCGATAGACGAACTACTTCTAAGAAAAACAAGCCGTTCGCAACTAAGTGCACAATTTTGCCGTACTCCTATACCTAATTTGTAACTGGAACTACTCTGCGCATGTAGCCGGCCTAAATATGGAAATTTCAATATTTTTATTTATTTTATTTTACATGACCCGTATTCACCTCTACTGTGCGGATACCAGCACTTTTCACATTCGATTTTTCCTCGTATCCATTCTCTACGAAGATCTTCCAGCTTTACGTGTGGATTGGGTTACTGCTTGATGGTTTCCATTTCATCTCGGCTGTCGAAGAATGCTTTTCGAGCAACTCTCCATAGAGTCTTGGGATAGCCAGGCTGGAGCGTTCCCAACTGGATTGTAGAATTTTTTCCCGGACAAGTCCTGTACCAATTTCGCGATCCCGGAAGGATGAGAGGCTTGGTTAGCTTAGTTAGAAATCGAACTAACACCATGCTCGGGACGAGGGACATCACTACTACCGTGCTATCCACCCCTGAGAATTTCAACAGCAATTAGAAAGTCAAACGTGACCAAGCAAGCTAAGCGCTATGGATTACGGTCAGCAACAGCACAACAGGAAGCTTTGTGCAACGAGGAATATGTTTGGAAAGCCTGATTGTCCATATTCAGAAAATTTAGATATTGTTAACAGCAGGTATGGCTATTTTCTCGGCTATTATAATAATTGTACTTACCGTAGGAGCATAGAAATAGCTGAGTTTGACTAAAGAAAATTGGTATCACGGATGAGGGAAACGTTATCTTATGGACTGAGGTAATGAAGAAGAGCCATGCAGTCATGGCTTGCTATAACGTCGACGGTTTTTCGTGAAGTATATTGCCTGAAGTGCGAACAATTGATTCGATCAGCGGGGCCGCAGCAACACTCTTTGCTGTTGTTCCCCCTATTGTTGTTGCTGCTGCAGCAGACAATGTAGGTTAACGTTGTTGATGAGATGGTCAATTTGTACTTCCTACGTGAAGACGTCATTATGTAATGCAGGCGCATTCAACAACGATCACAGCGCTGCCCATGTTTGCCTCTTGTGAAAATTCCTTCGCTTATACGAACATGTAGTCGTCTGGAGTTTAGTGTCGATTCCTCATTATATAAGATACCATATTTTACGGCAAAAGTGGTGATCACTTATCCAGTTCGCATAACTGCGAATTCGTCCACGAAACCCTCTCAATCTTGAACTTCTGATTCCAATCGTGTTCACCTATTTCGTCCTATATCCTACAAAGACCGAAGCAAATCGAAGAAACTGTGCTAGCGAAAATTCTTTTTTCGGTTTTAGGCATGTCAATTCCCATCCTCACCTACACTACTACATGGCTGTAGTAGATGACAAAAGAGCGGGCAGCTACACGTTCGGATTGTTTTTTGAAATAGAATTATTTCAAAACAAATGATGCTAAAGATACTGCTTCTTTCTACATGGTCGGTAAAATTAGCTATGATTACTGCAGATTGTAAACCTACACTTCTTAAGGTTTGATCCCTACAAATCTGCAATAAGTCCATCTGAGCTACGATGCTTTCTTGAGTGAAATTGCTAGGAGCAAATACTAGTTTAGCAGTGAGTTTCTAACTGCATCATTTACTTGTTGGATTTCTAATGAAGTAGATAAAACACAGCTCTTAAAACTTTTGAATCAGTTTTTTTAAGCTTAGTTCCGAGTGTAATTATAAGATGAACTTTTATTAGAACAGATCAAACATTACGTAATCATGCATATCGAATCATTTTCTACTAAATGAGCCCATGCTATGGTTTTTGTACGATGAGGATGGCTCTGGTCCAGGTTTTAGTGTTTCATCACCATCCTGATGACGTCATAGCTGTGTGATCAACGTCAGAACAGCTGAATCTCGGCCCATCTCCCACATTTCTCGCATTTCTCGTAGTCTGAGTGAATTTGCATCAGTTCTTCGTTCTTCTACTCATCTGAGTTAATTCGATTCTTCTAGAATAATTGCTTCATTACACCTTTTTAAAGCTCTTGTACTGTGAAGTATTTCTCCGGAACGTTCATCCCATTTCGGCACGGTTACTCAAACTTGGGCTGAGTCCGCGATTGTACTCGGCATTCTATCCAGGATTGAATGTTTGCCAGGAAAGGGAATAACGGCTGCATGGGAAGAAACCTAGACATGAGGTAACAAACATTTCTGTGTTTCACAACGGCTAGGTTTGTGAAAAATCTACCGACGACGGCACAATCCTTCAATAAGGTGAGCTACTCACGTGAGGATAAATAAATTCATTATTATAAGAACAATCAAAGCAGACATATTTATCATTTCATTTCTCACTTTATTTCAAAAGCGCCGACAGTTAACTCTTTTGCTTTGCTTTACTCATAATTAGAAGTGAAATGGCTGTTCATTCCTTTTCATTCAGCACCTTGTGTTCCTCTTTCGCCATTCTATCTTTTTATACTTTCGTCAAGTAGCCTACAATCTGCCCCTACCGTTGCTGTTACCGTCCTCATGTCTCTCCATGGCATTTTTCCGTGTTTTTTTTTGTATTTAGTTTAATCTCAGCATTACCTGTGCTATTGAATTTGTACGTCGTTTTTGATGTTCTATGTCGTGAAAAAGAAGGCGCCTGTGGTGCAGTAGTCGGAGTCGCCCTGCGACGCACACATGCCTCCTCGCCCGTTGCTCACCAAGCTTTACAACGCTCCCCCGTCGGCAAATTGCCATACTTGTCTAGGAGGAGGATAGCAGCACTGGCTCGATACATCGGTAAGCAACCGCGAGTCATTGTAACGGCCAGCTATGCATCCAATCACCTCCCTCCAAGGATTAATCAACGCCAAGAGCTTTTCCTTTATCCTTTTTATGCCGTGATAAACCACAATAATAACCACAGTAACGAAAATAGCAACAACAGGAGAACAGCTTATGTGACAAAAAATGCCTTAAATGGTGGATAAAATAAAATGTGGGAAAGTTTAGATATTTACATTATGTTTCGATCCCTCGCTGTAGACTAAACAAGCTATCAATACTTCCTCGAACACCAGAATTGTCTGGAATAATAAAATCGTAGACTTGATACATCTATAGGTCACACTAAGTTATTATATAGGCAAAATAAGCATTCTTTCACCTCTACGATACGAAATGGAGACCAATGGTTGGCACATGCCCAAGAAATATCGCTGTGTTACCCAGCAAGCACCTTCGGAGATCCGTGTGATATTTGGGCTCAACAGTTCACAGGATAGCCATGGAAAGACTTTCCAACGTTTTCACCACAGCATTCGACAGCAACTACGGAACGACAGGAAGTTCTCCGTAGAACCTAGATTCTTCCAGTCCGGCAAAAATTCTTGTGGCGGCTGACGATTTCTGTTAGTTATGTGTGAACTCAGCAAGTAAAAAGGGCAGAAATCACAAAGGATTAATATCTAGTATTAAATAACAGGTTTTATGTCATTAAGCAAGAGTTTCCAGTAATATAGACAGCGCAGTTGCTATATAACTCATGTATGGAATATTTGATGTTGTACATTTTAAATATATCCTCAACATCAACCATTATCATCATATTCTGCAATAACATGCACCTTTCAAGTTAAATTCCAATTTCGTTTCATGCAATCGTGAAGAATACGGTTTCTTGCGTTAGTTTCTACTATACCGCCTTCCGTAAGAAATGAAGCTATTGTTACAGTGGTAGGTATTTAATGAAAAACCTAAAAGCCGGCCATTTGGCCTTTGTGATTTTTCTTATTAATAACTGTTCTTCTGCTTTATTTGAAACTTTTGGTGGAAATTCGCTGTCCACTCAATATGGGTGCTGTCCCGATACTCTTGCGGTAATAGCGTTGCCGTTATTTTCTTTAGTGAAATTACGAATGTAACACAGTAAAGAAACATTATAATAACCATTTTCAACTTATTATTTACTGCCTACTCTTTTTGACGGCAGGGTATTCATTGTGAAATGTAACTTCAATGGTGCTGAGATATTTGCAAAACTCCGAACCGCAGCTGTATGCGATGGGGAACGAACACGTGCTGTTGTCCTTACCGGGGAGCAGCGCACTTCACCACCACACCACGCGGGTTCTTCGTTTCGCCTGTCTCTCAGCTAGTTCTATCGATCTTTTGCCATCAGCAATCGCCCGTCAGCGGGATTGATCTGGGGAGCCCAAATCGGCAACGAACCCAGTTAAGCTGAGGCCGCAGTTATAATCACAATTTTAACTTATCTCAAAAGATCCGTAGCAGGATTTTGTGAATCACTGCTATTTTTCGGTTTTAATTTCTGATTTCTTTTGCTTTCTCTTAATGTCTTTGCTTTTCATCTCTGTTTTAATTCCTCAAATAAACACAGTGATAAGGGCGATGTTATAAAGACCATGAAATCTCACAAAGTTTATTTATTTAGAACAGAGCTTATATTTACTGTCTTCACTTATGCCACCTATTCAGATGCGTTCTTTTCCGACCTCACGTTCTTTCGAAAGTGTCACTGGGCTTCCCTTCCTTGCTCTCCGCTGTTTCTGTCTCGCTCTTGACGTTTCCATTTCCATTAATTAAATTCTTTTAGAAAGCTAACTAGATATATAATGGGAATGTGATGAGATCATCTATACATAGACTTGTGCGGGTGCTACTGAAGATCGTCTCCTTTTTCTTTGTAATCGAGTATGTGACTTTTATGGTTTCAAGATTAGTTGTGAAGGCGCTGTTAATCCAGCGAAGTATTCTTTGGTAATTTAGCAAATTTTATGCATAGAATGTTTTAATTAGTTATGTGACATGTTTTTAGGTGTTACGAAGTACGTTCTGTTAACACAGCATGGGGAGTAGTAAGAGGAGAGCGAGTACATCCAAATGGAGGCGATTTACCACCAGTAACGCAGTTTCTTGGAGTACCGTATGGCGTAGCGCCATCAGGACAGGTAGATTGTAGAAAAATTGAAAATTGAGTAGATTAATTGTTATCGAGAAATGATAATCGCTATGAACTAAAAGGCATTAGACGTAAAATGGATTAGCATGTGCCTTGAACTTTCCAATAGTTTACCGCCTCATTGCAGCTTGGAGGTATTCTTGCGTGTCGAACTGTGACGTACAGCAGGGGATTCATCCCCCAGTAGGGTTTCCTGGGCTGAGAACGAGTCCAGCATTTACATTAGGAAGACCAGCTAAGGGTAGACTAATGCCAGGATTCATTACCATCCTGGTACCAAACCGGTCGCATGTTGGCAAATCACTCTCTGATCCACAAAGGCGGTGACTGCCTATGGTGGTGCCGACCCGGAGCAAACTTTGGTTAGGTTGACCTCTGGAGTCCAGAAAACCATAATAGCTAAACCGATGAAACTGCGAAACAATGGAAAGTAGGCTGGGGTCCGCACAACCAATAAAAACGAGCCATCCAAGAGCGCGTGCTCTGAACTCTTTTTAAGGTAGTGTGCTAAGGAAGAATGAACATTCATGTAGAGAAGCCTGTTAAATTATTATTTTATATTTTTATATTATTTGTTTTCAGTTTCGCTTTAATATGGCTATATCATCAGCAAAATGGACTCATTTGCCAAAAGAAGCACGTAAACTCGCTCCAGCATGTATCCAAACGCAGCTACCCGAGCTTAGCGAAACGAGGTGATTTCCACGTCCTATGTTTTAAAAATCATTAATTTGTGCCATGATCCCATTTTTCTTCAGACTTTAGTTAGAAATAGTAGTAAAATCGGCTGTATAGCACATTTTATTATTTATAACTAGTTAAACTCTACACATTCTAAAAGAACAGTTCATTACAAAAAATTAGCCTGAAATCTTGCAACTTGATACTTGAACTTACTTGAACGGCCCGTCCTCACTGGTTCTCCGGACCCCGGCATAATCTCCATTTTTCGGAGATTTGCTGGTTAAGTCATTGTGGTTTCCTGGAATCCCTTGGACAGCCTAGCCAATGTCTGCCCCAGGTCGTCACCACAACAGGTAGTCGCAGTCCTTGTGGATCAGAGGGAGATTTGCCACCATGTGACTTTGATACCAGGGCAGTGGTGGATCCTAGTATTGATTTACTCTTAGCTAGGCTTCCTGATGGAAACGCCGGGCTCCTTCCCAGCTTAGGAGGCCCTGCCGGGGTCGAATCCTTCCGCTGTACATCGCAGTTCGACACTCAGGAACACCTTCCAACCACGATGAGGTGGTAAATCGTTGGAAGGAAGAAATCTTGCAGAGATCCAACAACTAGTAAGTATTCCATGTAAAAATCACAAGTTTTTTTAAAATATAAGAAAAGGTTGTAATAAAAGAACGGATGAAAACTCATCCGCGTAAAAGTGATCTCGTCTTATTATAAACACTTAAACTTGCAATAGTGATAGCATTTTTTTCTGACAAATCACGCTAATAAATTTTTTGAGTTTTGCTATTCTTGATCTTTTACTTCTTTAATTCATGGGCCTGCACTGTTCTTTTTTCCATAAGGTAAATCACTCGTTGTTCATTGACTGGTTTAGTTCTATTTTTCTTCTAGCGACGTTTATTCAACTAAAAGCGTCTGTTCTGTATCATTGGTGTTTTCGCTTCATGACTCAAAGTGACACTTGTTGATGAATCATGCCAGTTAAAGACATTTTTTATCTCAACTAAGAACTTCGTACTCGCACAAGAAATAACTCTATCCCTTCAGAGCTTTTAAGCAGATGTCGGCTCAAAGGTTCGACTACGTACACCGCTTGCTCCCTAAACTGAAGTTACAATCCGAAGATTGCTTGTATATGAATATTTTCGTGCCGGAAAGGCTAGGTGGGTTACAAAAAACTTTTATAAAATGTAACGACAGTGATGTAACTACAAAAGTGATTAAAAGAGTTTGTTGCTTGAAAAGAAACACTATGGGGTGCAAATTAGAGGGGCATTGCAATAGACAAGTGTTCGTTAGTTCGTATTCTGTACTATGTGCTCACCAATTCTTACATCCTGCCGAGGTCGTCAAATTAACCACTTTTGTTTTAGAGTGTGGCTGCTCTCCTTTGATGCATCAGTAACGCATCAGAAGTCATTCCATAAACCAAATAGGCGTTCCATTACCTCTACGATGCAGTTTTGAGCATGATGCATCTCATAAGGATTGATCAACACCGATTGCTTTATCCTTTAAAAAACTGCTTTCGATGTGAAAAATCTGGAAACTTGTTTGCGACATTAATTTCGATTGTTGATGTTCAAAGGCACAGGTGTTCGTTGACGTAAGAAAATAATTTTCTCATAAACAACTGCTTTTCTCTCGCTAATACTACCCGATCAACAGAAATATTCTTTCTGTTGCGAAAACGTTTTAGAAATTTTTATATCAAAAGACAGCAGATACGATTGTCCTTCGTTAAAAGCATTTGAGGATTTGAAAAGTTGTCTAAAATCCAGTTAAGAATGGGTGCATATGCGTGGAAACGAAGAAATAGAACTTAGTGGAACAAGAACGTTTCCAGATTGAACCAGATTCCATTTTTCTACTTCACGGCATTTCTAACCACTGCGTTATCCATGCCTATAAAGCTGATATAGGCAGTTTAAATTGTTCATCGAGGACACAGTGAAGGATGGACTGCATGCACTATCAAAAATTTAAGAGACACGCTAAATTGGTATGATGACGATGAGCTTCACGAGCATCAGGCAACACTTCGAGTTTATGGAATTGCAGATGATCTTTTATAAATAGAAAACAACGACCAACAGAAAACATTTGCCATGCTAGTCGATGACTTACCACTTACGAGATTACGGGCAACACTTCGCAGTTTTGAATATTAATCGAATAATTCAGCTCTTATTAATCATTTACATGACCTGTCATCGTCTAGTGTGCGGTTCCCAGGACTTCTTGTACTACACTCGTTTTCCTCTAACTCATAGTCCACGGAGGTCTCCGAATATTTCGTAGATTCCTAAGACCAGATTTTTGTTAACCTCGGCATTGATTAAAAATTCACTGTTTTTCTTCAGTGACCAAACACGAGGTTGGTATTACAGAAATCATTAACACACAATAGCTAACGTTTCGGCGGTTTCGCCATCTTCAGAGCTTGGAAAGGTCAAATTGACATGAAATCTACTCAGACAAACATTTCATAACCTTAGCAGATATTAATTAGCACCTAAATTTGCATTCCATAATAAACAGCTTGTTTTAAACACGTACTGATTTACCTATTGTAAGTATTTCACTTGATTGGTGGAGAGCAGCCGTACAGAGTAATGCATGGGTGAGGAATGTTCCTGGATCAGGTCATAGAATCAGGATGAGGTGTGGTGTGGTCATGCGTGATTACAAGACGGTCCCATTTGCTGTTCATTTTTGGATTTTTGGAAATGCATAATATGCTCTAACGGTAGAGGTGATTGCATAAGTTCGGGTACGGTATGCCTAATCTCTTGTAAAGCATGTGGCGACGAATACATTGGCGAAACGGGTAGATCACTCTGTGTCCTTTTAAAAGAACACCTAGCCGGTAACTTAAAGGTTAAATCGATTACTCCACTAGGTGCAAGCAGGGCTCAAAAATATAACGGAAAAGATTTTGAACCGAAAGTCTCTAACCTAGCACAAGAATCGAAAACATCAGCGCGTAAAACTCTTGAAGCGTTTTGGATTAATTTCAAAGATCCAAAAATGAACCGCAAGAAGGAGCGTCTTGTGGTCATGCTTGACCTCACTCCATATATCAGCCTGATTTGATGACCTGACACAAGCACATTCCTCGCCCATCTAATACTCTGTGCGGCTGCTGTCCACCAATTAACTAGGATACGTACAACGAGTAAAACTATACGTGTTTAAAAGAAGCTGTTTGTTATGCGAATGAGAATTTGTGTGTGTCAAGTCTTATCTGCTAAGGTTATGGATGTTTTTTTTTGCTGAGTAGACTGCATGCCAATTTAACCTTTCCAAAGTCCGAATTCTTATTCAAAGAATCGAACAAATTCTATAATACCAACCTCTTATTTGCTCATTGAAGAAATACAGTGAATTTCGTGGATTGTTCTTGCGACTGCTTAAGGATTTCGCCTTTATGAACACCGAAAAATGCTGGTCAAGGCGATTACTCCTTTCAGTGTTAAGGATAGCCGTGCTAATGCGTTCCCACGTGAATTGGGAGAGATCGTGGAGAGGGTCGAACCAGGGCCTTGTTTCCTGATCGACTGCATCAATAACCACCTCATTGCTTCTCTTTACCCCTAATATTTCTGTCGTGAAAACACAATTGAGAAATTAGTAAAATTTATAGCAATCTTTTAGACTGTCATCCAATCCGTTAGGTCGCCATCATAATAGACATACATTATTCCACAGTCTCTATTTGAGATCTGATAAGTAATCTTATTTGTGAATTATTATGACGATATTGATAGAATCAAGCTTGAAAGTCTAATGGACGCACAGTTAGTGGGGTTTTCCGTACACAAGCTCATTTCATTCCCCACACATTTGAAAAAGGTTCTAAACGTACAACTAACACTCCTAATGCTATAATGCTCATAGGTGGCATAAGTTTTGACAGCTTCTCGTTTAAGTGTTAAGTGGATCCAGTTTTTAGAAGCATCGCAACGCCAATCCTCATTGCCGGTTCTAGTGGTTGTCCATGGTGATGAGTACGGTTGGAATGCTGGTAGTCCGTATAATGGAAGCATTCTTGCTTCTCATGGACAGATTGTCGTTGTTACCCTCAACTACCGTCTGGGAGTATTCGGTTTGTTAATAATTTCACAATAACCTCGTACGGAGGTTTTTTTAATCGCTAGTTTCAATTTCTTTTAGGGTTTCTTGGACGTTGCGAATCGTCCTCATGTTCTGGAAATAGTGGTATTTCCGACCTAGTTTCTGCATTAACTATGCTCAGCGTAATATTACCTCCGTTCGGAGGTGATTCAAAGGCTGTGACATTACTTGGTGAGGGTCTTACATAATTCGTTACGTGCTAATGTCCTTGTAGTGAGATCTAGTTCTAGACAAGAAAATACAAGATGGTTTCATTTCAATGGTATTTTTTAAGCACCATAATCATCGAGTGGGTGGGACTGTGCTCAAATTTTCTTTCGCCATTCTTCATGATAAGTCGTCGGAAAGTTACAATTTGTTCTCCATGATGTTAACAGTAGAGTGTTTTTTCTCCGATTATCCATGAAGAGTTTTAATAGTAGTGAAATTGAATCTAAAGTTGTTCAATGATGCTGAGATATTTGCAAAACTCCGGACCCAGGTGTATGCGGTGGGAACGTACACGCACTGTTGTCCTTACCGGGGAGTAGCGCACTTCACCACCACACCATCCGGGTCCTTCGTTTTGCCTGTATCTAAGCTAGTTCTAAAGTTGTTCGTTTAACAGTCTTGGTTCTGTGATGGCTATCACGTAACGGTAGCTATTAGAGAGCATAATGTGTTTGGCCTATAGAAGAACGATACTAAGAATGAATCGTTAACCACTACCTGTATCACGGCTCTAGTACGACAGGGAACGGGGAACACATGCTTGTTTATATGATAGAACATCTTCTGGACGCTAGGCTTTGCTGTAGTCGAAACTACATGTGTTATCAGATCGTGACTAGAGATCCGATGATGTGATCGTCAAGCATCTGTTCTTGTACATAATCAGTTTACCATTTTTCACATTGCAGTGGAATTAAAAATGAATCGTTTTTTTGACACGAAGGAATCATAGGGCAGAGTTCATAACGACGACCTCTTTTCCATTCTATTTATGCGGTGCCTATTTGTCGAGAAATTTTATCTTTCCAAAGTAATTAGAGAGTTTAAGGTCGTTGTTTTACTTTTACTTTTTCGCAAGCCATAGAACTGTTGTTCAAAAGTGTGTCTTCTGTGTGACTCTCTTTGAATGGTCATCGTTATTGATAGTGAGTTCTCCGCGACTTTTCATTTCTATCACGAAGCGCTTGAAGTTGAAATTTTGTTTTTCGGAATGCTGACCAAATAAAACGTTTCTGTGGAAGATGGATATTAGTGGCTTTATATCAAATTTTTTATATAAAAAAGTGTTCCGCGTTTTGTAACTTTTACTTGCTGCCTATTCTTTTTTCATGGCAGAGTGTGATGTGAAATGCAACCACAAGGTTGCTGAAATATTCGCAATACTTGGATCATAGTGCGGATTCGAGCCCATGATTGGCGTTTCCAGGCACTCAAATGCTATCTACTAACCGAGGGCTTCGTCTTGTCTTTATCTCGGCCATATCCAACCTCTATCGGCACTAGCGGCAAGGTGAGCCTCTGGGAAGGGTAAACGTGCGTTCGAAACTCATCTGAGGTCCCATGTTTTACTAATATGTCAGCATCATCATGTTTAGCGCTGATCAATCGGTTAGCGATGTGCCATGCATTATACATGCATTAGACTCCATTAAGCATCGTTTGGAGGTGATTGAATGAATATCTGGCATTTACAATGACTCGCAGTGGCCTACCGATGTATCGAGCTAGTGCCGCTACTTTTCCAGAGAAGTTTGATACCAATTTACCAAACCCGAAAGAGTGGAAAACTTGGTGGGTCAGGGGCGCGGGGATCGATCCCATGTGTGTATTGCAGGGCGCCTCCTACCACTGTGCTACACGCGCAGCTGCACAGTTTAATAGAGAAATGGAAACTTCTATATAGAAAAGTAGAGTGAAATCTTGGCTTAAAATAATATGGATGGAAACATGGAAAGCATTTTGTTTTATCATGAATTGTCGAATCTTGTGGGAACAAAGGTGAAGCATTATTGAAAAATGGATCGTCTAGTACTTTATGAGCAAAACAATGTAAAATCCTATGTTTTTCTAAGATTTTTCAACCTTCGATGATCTCTGGGATTTCTTTCATAGCAAAACCACAACGAACACTTTAACACGTATCTTTCCGATCTTGCATTAAATAAATATCTTTACGATTATTTAAGGATGGGGTTCGGGAGCCTCGTTGGTGTCTCTTCTGATGGCATCACCGTTGACGCAACCTGGTCGTCGTCTATTCAGGCGGGCGATTCTTCTTGATGGTACTGCTCTAGCACCATGGGCGATGTCACAGAATCCGCAACAATATTTCGTGCAAGTTGCTGAGAATCTTGGAGTGAGTGACTTGTATACGAACTCATGGTCAACAATAAGCTTCGTAAACACTATCGGTGTCTTAAATGTTCATACTACTCATACTTATTTCACTTTTCCGTTTACAGTATTGGTCGTTAAGAAACTTAAAACCTTCGGCTTATTAGTTTATCGTTTCGAGTGTCTCTCTCGGAATCGCTCATCCGTGTTTAACGACAATGTGGACACGACACTCCGTTGTATGCAAGATCATCCAGCAGATAATGTCACCAAGGCTGTTCAAGCCATTGAGATTCCCACATTCCTTAGCGTTTTCGCTCCTATTGTTGATGGACAGGTAAATAAAGTGTTTAGTTTACACCTATGTGCTGCTTATTTTTGTATGTAAACCAAGCAATCAATTTGTTTCCATTGGAAGGAGCCTGATGATATCCCTTGGAATGCTATTCATCTTTTCTTTCTTACAGCTTTTTTCATACGGGTTTTAAAGGTTGAGTCACCCATGAAGCAACAGAAAACACAGATGCAAAAATATTTTTTGCGAAAAAGCTAAAAATTTCTTGAGTTTAGCTGATTCCGAATTCACCACGATTATCGTTCTCGTCTCAGTATGGATCATTGTTTCGCGAGATTGACCTGCTTGTGGGATTCTCCTCGAATCCAGCCCACTATCTCTTGTCAAACGAAGATTTGAAATCGGGACTGTCAAAGGAAAGACGGCAGAAGATCTTCAGGTGAGCACTTGTTTTCGGTCCATGTAATTATAATGTAATTCTTAATTGGAAATGATGTGATTTCAAATAATATAATTCTAATTAAGGACACTTGTACGGAACCTGTATGAATACCATCGATCTGAATTACTAGCTGCCATCATCAACGAGTACACGGACTGGGAAAATCCTCGGGCGAGTTGTTTGTTCTGCTCTTTTTTATCCATCGATGCTCATGGGTACAAATGCTTTACTGGTTGTTCAACATTTTTTAAATCCCTTTTGTTTCATTTTTTAAAATGAACGCTATTACAATGTACGATATTGTTACTATCCAAATATGGTTCCATTTACTTGATACGTGAATGGCCCGCCCTCACTGGACATAATCTCGCATCTCACGTGGTGGTTAGAAGTGCCTTGCAATACAGGCTTGATTAGTGAGCGATTCGACTCCGTCCAGAGGCGGAAGCGAAGCCATTTATCACTTCCAGGTCAGAAAATTTCTACCAGAGTTATCTGAGAGTATGAAAATAGTGACTCGATGCTTTGGAAAACTTCCACAAGTCAGAGTTGTTTGAGTCGGAAAAGCATTTGCAAAACACTGCAGTGTTGAGAAGTGAATCGAATGCATGGTACATCCCTGAGGAATTCGTCTTCACCGAACGCCTTATTTGTTTAATACTTACTTGGATAGTTGGACGACCCGTCCTTACTGGTTGTGCGGGTCCCAGCATAATCTCCATTTTTCGGAGTTTTGCTGTTTTATCCATTGTGCTTCATTGGAGTCTTGAGGTCAGCTTGGGCAAAGTCTGCCCTAAGTCGTCATCACCACAGGCAGTCGTTGCCATTGTGGATCAGAGGGAGATTTGCCACCATGCGACTAGTTTGATACCAGGACCGTGACGGATCTTGGTATTGGTTTACTCTTAGCTAGGCTTCCTGATGGAAACGCCGGACTCCTTCTCAGCGTGGGAAGTCCTGCCGGGGGAGCGAATCACCCCGCTGTACATCGCAGGCCGACACTCAGGAATACCTCCCAGCCACGATGAGGCTGTAAACCATTGGGAAGATTTGTTTATTAATACTATTATCATTATCTTAACCGTTTTATTTACTGCCCATTCTTTTTAATGGCAGAGTATATTGTGAAATATAACTTTCAATGATGCTGAGATGTTTTGCAAAACTCCGGACCGCAGTCGTCTGCGGTAGGGAACGAACACGCTATTAGCCTTTCCGGGGTTGACGCCTTGATGACTATTATTACTTTTATTACTATTGCTACCATAATTGCTTCCAAGATCGTAAATTTCTGGTTTGTCCACCGTGGTTTCTCTGAAAATACACAGACTTTAGGGATTACTCTTTGTGTGGTTTTTTTCCTTGCATTTCCATCCATCTATGGATTTCCTTTTTTTTCTGTGCACGCCAATAGTAAGCGCAATGTTTTGATTTTTTGTTGTTTACATTCCAGGACCATCCAAAGTCAATACGAAATGGTGTGTTGTCTGTACTGAATGATGTTCTATTCACCGCTCCTCTCATTGAGACACTTCGTATGCACAGTGCGGATGAAATACGGAGAGGGGCTAACACCTTTATGTGAGTTAAAGGAGGTCATGATGAAATCGCCAGGTCTTCAGAATGGAACAATACTTTACTATGGAAACAACGTGCAATTTCGGCGCATTTGTAATGAAGTAGATGTTGGCTTCCGGAATAGTGTAAGGGCTATAACTAAATTGCATTGAACTTCTAATTATTTAACTGAAAGCGAGCACAAATACTGGCGGAAAATCGATTATCTCCTTATAAATTCTTTTATACTTCGCCATTTCGTATTTTTAACTTGTGAAAGGACCTCTTTTAATTTGTGGTCTGTTTTAGAATTTTCATTGGAGTTTTTTACCTACTTTGTTCGAATTCAACGATGTCATTTACTACGATATTCTTAATATGGTTAAATATTGTACGCTTGAAAAAACACGTTGCTGAATCTCACCATTTTTCTGCGTGGGTTTAGGTTCGTATTTGGTCACGAAACCCGTTCGTGGATGAACGAGCAGCCAAATTCGGGATTGAGAGGATCGTTGACTGGTGATCATATCCCGTATATATTCGGTTACCCTCTTATCAGTGCAGATAGAGAAGAGAAGGTACGTTAAAAAGGCTTTCTGTCGTCTGCTACTAATCTGTTTTGTGTGACATAGTAACTATTGTTTTGTTTTGACTTCACAGTGAGATATTTACTATCCTTGGCCTGATTTTTCAGCTCTATTTCGGATTCAACGCGGAGGACCGAGGAATATCCCAGGTCATGATGCATTACGTGGCAAATTTCGTAAAATCAGGGTGAGGTCCTATATGTTTAGAGACAAAACGATAGAGCAGCTTCTTTTTTTTCGATTTAGCGATCCATCCAAGCCGTTACCAATGTTGAAGTCTTTTCCTATGGGTGACGCTTTCCACTCGACCGCTTGGCCGCAATTTGATCAGCCCAATAGAGAAGCATATCTGGAAATAAGTGAGCACCGTTATCTATGGAGAGGTTTTAATATTGCAATGTAGAGTTAAAGATGACTATTGATCGACGACTACATCACACTTTTTGTCGACGGACGTCGTTGATTTCAGTGCACTCTTAAACCTAGTGATAAATTAGTCAGTTAAGAGTTTATACAAGCTGCAAGTATAAAAAATATGCTCGTTGATTTTACTTTTCCTCAACACTATTCAATTTGTATTGTATTATGTTAACTATAAGGAAACGAATGTTCAGATATATATTTGATTGCAGCCGATCGTCCACGTGTGAAAAACTACTATCGGAATGCAAGAGTGGGTTTTTGGACAAGTTTAGTCCCTGCACTGCATTCTTCCGGAAAAGAAGGTGGCGAGGTACCAGAGGTAGGTTGATCACGAAGTTCTTTTCTCTTATTGGTAGTATCATTCTTTGTCTCTTGTCTAAACCTTTTTTCCATTTTCACTTTAGAAAATCCTGGAACAAAATTATTACTTTTTTGTACGACCGTCCTCACATCTACTACGCGGATCCCAGCACTTCCCATATTCGATTGGTTTCCTCGCATCCACCATCAACTAAGGTCTTCCAACTTTTACGTGTGGCCTTAGCTACTGCTTGAGGATTTCCATTTCATCTTGGATGTCGTAGAATGCTGGTCGATCGATTCTCTCTGGAGTCTTGAGATAGCCGGGCTGGAGCGTTCTCAGTGAGATTGTAGAGGGTGGTTTTTTCCCAGAATAGTCCGGTACCAATTTTCCAACCCTGGAGGGATGAGAGACTTGGTAAGCCTGGGGCGGGATCGATCGAGTACCGTGCTTGTGATGATCGGCTTCGTTACCGCTGTGGTGGGAGATTTAGTAGAAAACTAGACTTCTAGGCTTGTACAGATAAAAATTTAGTAATTCACTGCTTACATAACCATCACATGTCTTCTCATTGTCACATAATTGAGAGATTGGAAGTGAAATCTGACTGAGTCCTGGTCTCTTGATATAATTTTTTGTTGAACTTTGAACCATTGAGAAATACGAGAAACGGCATATTTTATTGTCGAGATCGCAGTAGAGAACTCCTATTATGGGATCGGTGGTCGCTGTGATGGCTGCCCTGTATTTTCCAACGATTGTCACTTGGATTTCTAGTTCACCTACTTATTGTGTTACTATGTGCAGACATTGTCTGTCCACAACAATAGATCCAGTTTAGAGCTCTGTTCTTTCACTCTTTGTTATGGTACGATACTCTCAATGACATGTTCAATAATGTTAACCGTACTTTCATCATACTTGTATGACGTTCAGTTAGCCAAAATTTTTATGAAAACTGGAAGTAGGTTTTTACATGTTCGGAGTTGATCCTAGCGATGTTGCATTCTCTACGATTCTTTCTTGACAATCGGTATAGCATGTCGCCCATCGCAAACGGAAACGAATATCTGTGTTTATTTGTGCCTCTTGAATCGTACTAAAATGTAGTGTTGCTGAAAATGGTAGGACAGAAAAAGAAAGAAACCGTTGATAACCTTCCCTACTGCCCCTTTGCAATCAGTGAGTGCACTATCTCGGAGTTTGCGGTTGGTCCTTTCAGCGTCTTGATTAAAACGAGCGCAGCAGTCTTTTCCTTCTAAAAGTCTTTTTCAATGGAGTCCCAGTTTAACATTATAAGTGAATTGTTTTGGCATTTTAGTGAAGGTGCGAAGGCGCTTTTTTTCGGAAATTTTGGTTATCTCTCCTTTTTGTTAGAGTCGTTTGCAAGATAATGGTCTGATATTATGGATAACATAACTGTGGATATCAGTTAGGCAGTATCTCCTATTGATGGTGACATTTTTGTTGGCATTTTCATTATTGTACTCTTTAATGAGAGCCATCCAATGTTGCTAGGTGTACTTTTCAATCTGAGATTTTCAGAGGATAGTGGTTATCATTAAGTGAGGTAGGTGCTCACCTTCGTCGTCCTGTTCTAGTTCAGATCATCTCGATATGAAGCTTCTCGGACTTTTTCCTGGTGTCAGTACTGGAATTTAGGACTCGATGATGATCATGTTAGGCGTACGGTATTTTTATAGCACTTATCTAGGTTCATACAGAATACCTCAGCCTTACTTCCATAGAAAATCATTCCTCGCGATTGCTGAACAACAAAACGACGCATTCATATTCCTATGCCGAGGTTAATAGAAAATCGATCCTGGGGACCTCAGCCTTATTTTCAGAATTCAATTTGGTACAAAGGATGTGAATTTGTGGATACTTGTGTAGAGAAATTGTTGATCGCTCAAAGAATTTGATACTGGTCTGCAAGCTCTAATTAACAGTACCACGAAGTCAACTGACTCCTGTGGTTACACGTTTGCCGATGGTTCATATGCCGAACAAAGCTTTACGTCGATGTTTTCTTGTTTTGGCTAGTCTGCTAACATTGTATCTAACTTTCCTAGCTTATGCTATCAGCCTTAAAATGGGCTCGTGTGGCGCAGTGGTCGGAAACGCCCTTCAAAACACATGGAATCGATCCCCGTGCACTTGGTCCACCAAGCCTTCCATCTCTCTGGGGTCGGAAAATTGGTACCAGACTTGTCTGGGTGGATAGCAGCACTGACTCAATACATCACTAGGCCACCGCGACTCATTGTAAAGGCCACATATGCATTTAGTCACCTCCAAACGATTCTCAATGAAGTCGAATGCGTGGCACATCCCTCAAGGATTGGTCACCGCCGGGAGCGTTATCCTTTTCTATGATATCCGCCTGTATAAAAATTCTAGTACTGACATGTATCTGTTTCATGGACCGATTGTGACCATAGTCCTACTAATTTTTTCAGTCCGAAATAACTCTGAGACTTTAAGTTCTTTCGCTGTCAGAACCACGCACGTAGTTCCCCTAATTAAGTCATGTCGATTGGGAATACCCACGGCTATCTTAGATTTTCCGACTGTTATGAAATAGACGTAGATCCTATTGGTTCGAAATGATTTCAAACCATCTGCTACAACGTACAGGATGGTGTATTAATACACATAAGCACATCTGCATCCGTATATATTTGGATTTTTATGCACGGAGGGTCAAATCATTCTTCCGCGCAGTGGATCCTTTGAAACTGCTATGTGTCAAAGCAATTACGTGGTTGCTTTGTAGGTTAGGTTTGACCTGCTGTCGTTCTAATAGTGACATACCATGTATCCTCGTTGCTAGCCAGCTTGACACAACCCACATAGTGGGAATCCTTAGTTCTTTCCTGTATGGTTGGAAATAACTACAATACTAGTGTTAACCTTTTGCTTACTGCTCACTATAATTTTTCACGGCAGGGTATGCTGTGAGATACAACCGCAGTGATTCTAAGATACTCGCAAACCTTGGATCCTAGGCCAGATCGAACCACGACAACTTTTTTCGGAAGCACGTGTATTACACAATGGCACCACTGGCGCCTATGCTTTGCGTATCGCTTAGCTTGTTTTTGTTTTTAGGTGATTGCTGATGCCAACGTTATGTAGAAAACTAGCTGAGAGGCACGCAAAGCATGGGCCTCAGGTGTGTAGTGAGTAATACGCGAGCCGCCAGAAAGGGTAGTCGTGGTTCGATCTGTCCTGGGCTCGGAGTTTTGCGAATATCTCAGCATCATTGTGGTTATAATACTAGTATTTCTTGAACAAGTCGACACAATTGTAGCAGATATTCCTTGACAATGACATTTTCAGGAACATCATTTGTTGCCGGATCACTTCAAAAAAGACTCGTTTTTTGGCCGTGTCAAGTCATTCGTACCATATTTGAATCATCCTTTTCCTGCACCGCCATTACCACCATCACCTCCACCTGAAAATATAAGGAAAACTACTACTAGCAGTAAGCTTAAAAAATTTTAAAGTATGGGTGATCTTCTATTGTATGAACTTTCTATTGCTGACGTTTCGACTGGTCATATTTTTTCTGTAACCATTCATTTCACGTCTTAACAACTTTTTGTTTTTTTCTTTTTATTTTTTTTTCTTAGCTTTTTTGAAAGCTTGCATATTCTTTCAGTGAAACCACCATTAGCAACTCCTTCTCCACCAAATGACATTGTTGCTGTAGCCAGTGGTCAGTATAGTACCATGTTGTCAGTTACTGTAGCCGTTGGTTGCGGTCTGTTGTTTCTCAACATTTGTGTGTTTTTCGGCCTTTATCGTCAGGTATATCATTCTTTTGATGAAGTATAGCCTTTCACTTCTTTATGCTTTTAATTTTGATTTAGTGCGATAAAAATAAACAGTCGAAGAAGAAGCTGCAACTGCAATATCAGACTTATGCTTCTAATCAAGCTGCAGTTCCTGACCAGTACAATAGCCTTAATTCACCGGTACCAATGCTTTTTTTCTATTACGTTTTATATAATCAGGGGTTTTGCTGCTACTGTTGATGATATCAATAATTATTTTGCTATAGAAGAACGAAAGACCGCAATGAAAGCCAGTATACCTTTATAATTGACGTCTGATGGAGAACTGTATAAATTTTGACTTAGCAAGTAATGAAAGAAAAGTGCTTCTAATTGTTTCCGTTAGTATTAGGTTAGATAGGGCATTGTTTTTATAGATCGTCTTCATTAACCCAAAGCAGATGTTCTTCTAAGCCAATACTCATAACTGTGTAACCCCTCTATTACCACTAATAAAGGCAACACTGACAACAACGGTAGTGGATCATATGACTTATGCGAAAAAGCTTGAGGATGTTGGTTATTAAATGCTTTCAATTCGGACAAGCGACACCTTATTTCTTTATCTATTGAATATGACATAGCAGACATTTTATGTATTCATGCTCACCCTGTCATAACGTGTAGACGTGTGCAGTAACGGCTTCATTTACCAGCATGGAGTGAGCGACGTGTTCCTCTAAGTATGTCGAGTTCAGATCTCACTAATGCCACCTCCACCGCCGCCAATTTCTCTGAACACATCGGCGATGAACACAGTTCCACCGACACATGACGATGTCTTCGAGCGGTCAGCAGTGTTCGGATCTGCTCCGCTGAGTAGTGCCAGTGACACCGCATCAAACACAATTCCTGGTCGTTCATTTCAGGAGCAGGCACGTCGGTTTTTTCCAGAATCACCGATTACACCACAGTTTGCCAGTGAATAATATTTGCTTTCCGATTGATCATAACACCCAAAATGATTGAGGGAGCTTAATATCTAACAATGTTGACGGATCTTCATAGGACTCTGACCTAATTTTTTTCGAAAGCATTTCCTTAGTATTCCTAACGTGTGAAACGTTTCGATCAATAATTTCAAGGCTTTATGAAACTAATAAATGTGTCAGTCTGAGATTCTATTTCCCATTCTTTTTCGTTTATGAAGCGGAAGCATCAAGACTGACAAATAACATCTATATCAAAATATTAGAATCTTTAAGTAACAGCCTGTATAAATGGCCTTAACCTTATAATATCGTCTGTACTAACTTCTTACTCGAATTACTCATCTACCTTGCTTTTAATCAACCAATTTTACCCTTTGTGCCTACTCTACCATATTCATTTATCACAATATCGATCTTCATTCAGAATATTTGTTAGCAATTTAGTAAACTGTGTAATTTTAACTCTACAATTTTATTGTTCACAGAGACAAACAGCATCAGTATCAATTCTTTAGCATTTATTTTGTGACTACAGCTTTTATGATGAAAATGTAATGTTAAATGATAAGGGATGAATTACTCGACGTTGATCAATCCCTAAGGGATGCGCCATGCATTCGACTTCAATGAGCATCGTTTGGAGGTGATTGAATGCATATGTGGCCTTTACAATGAGTTGCGGTGGCCTGCCAGTGTATCGAGTCGGTACTGCTATCCTACCAGACAAGTCTGGTACCACTTTGCCGATCACGGAGGGATGGAAAGTTTGGTGGGCCATGGGCGCGGGGATCGATTCCACGTATGTGTTGTAGGGCACCTCCGACCACTGCGCCACACGCGCCTTGGCCCGAAAATGTAGTGTTAGTTTAACAATCTAGGGATAAAATGTCGCGGTGTACTCCACATAATGATCCATAAAGCCTCAAAGTTACTTTACATCTGCATTGATTGGATTTAATGCTTTTTGATCTACTCATAAATCCACTATTTTAATCTGAATGGTGAATTAATAATCTCAGCAGAATATGTTGTGCACAAAAAAGAATGCTTCAAGCGATTAGTAGAATAACTTTTTCTTCAAATTTGTTGATGAAACAACAACCGTGGTGACTAAAAGCAATTCATTAAGTGACGGTTTTATTAATTTTATTTTTATATTGTTTTTCTTTTTCATATAGTCATTGATGTGGATTCTGCAGGAACCGTTGCTCTCAGCATCGCACAAAACTTCTCGTTCCGGAGTGTCACCATCGTGTCCACGTCATGGTCGGGCTGTTCTTTCACTCCATCCTGGACGTGGAAGTCTGGCGTTGAGCGGAAACACTCCGACACTTGAAGAAATCCAAGTATAACCATCGTTTAGTACTATCGCTCTTCATATATGTTGACACTTCTAGTCCTGCTTAAGGCTATACGTAGTTATTCTGTTCTTTTGCATACTGTTAAGAACAACACTCTTTTTCTGTTCAATCGTTATGTCTTCAATAACAACGGTGCATTACAGTTTTTTTATCTCTATAGTTTTCAAATTACCACTCTTATTATGACGATCTCTTTTCCACATCGTGCCTGCTGGGTATATACAGAATTTCGTCAGCAAGAATTCAAATAGGCTCTATCAGCTTGTGAAAATATTGAGTCTTTCAATATATCATGGTCACACCATCGCAGATGAAGTGTGTAAATTGTATTTTCGCAATAAAAATATGCTGGTTGTCTTTAGAATGATGGGCGAATGTTTGCAGGTTTATCATCTACGTCCTATCGCCTACAAAGGAGCACGTTCATTTTAAGATTCCTCTAGGAAAATTTTCTCTAAAGATGTTTCGTAATGGCAACGATATTGAGCTTAAGCAAATTTGTCGTAATTTATTCCTTCTTCTAGTAACCTAATATGTGGCACTCTTAAAAGGACAAGTCTATATTGTTCAATTGATTTTTTCTTTATTCTTTTCAATTATTTTATCTGCTGATGACATCATTCTTGAAGATTCAATCATTGATCAAACAAATGCTATCCGACTTGCAAAAGAGGTGTGAGAAGATCCGTTTTAGGGTAAAACTGGTGAATGCAGTGAAATGAGAGAGTGAGATAGTTTAGTTGTCCATGAACACTTATTTTTGTGATTACCTTGGCAATATGGTCAATTGGAAGACTTAGTAAGTTGAATAATGCTTGCGAAACTTATAGTAATATTAATAAAATGTTGGACACGACATAATCCACCCTATTCAGTGCCTATTTACGTCACAGTCTGTTTATGTTTTGGGTGCGTTGACAATAAGTGGAAGAACGGGTGATAGAGCTTATACCACTAGAACGTTTACATGCTGTGTCCTCGTTTTCTTTTGTTTTCTTCTTTTTTTTCTTTATATGGAAAGGTGCTAACGTTTGGAATTTATGTGATTCACGTATGGTGGGAAAGTTATGTGGAAGTGAAGAAATTTTTTCGCTTCCTTTCTCAGATAAGCCTTGAAGTACTCAATTAGTTGGGGCTTCTCATATCATTTAGGAAGCATATTTTTTCTTTGCAAATTTAAAGATGTAAAAGAAGTTTCAGATTCAGTGTGACCTTTTATACACCTCTATTAATTAAGTAACTTTATAAGATATTTAAGGTTTTTTTTTATTATGTGAATACGCTAGATTTTGTAACTTATTACTGTAAGCAATGAAATTTTGATTGCCCCTTTCCTAAAGCAAAATTGCTCCCTCTAAGTCGAATCTTAGTTTGCCGTACTCTTTCGGTGATTGAGATTATTACATCTTCTCAACATTTAAGAATATTTAAAAACGCATGCATCTTTAAAGTCAGCATATGGCTATAAATTGACGCAGTTATTTTTTACTTCTTAGTGTTCGTAATTCCGTATTCGAACATGAAATTCTTTCTTTAATAGAAGCGTCCAGTGGCGCAGTGAAGTCTGTATATCTCCATACATTTTACTATTTGCACCTTTATTGGGTGTTTTATCACAAAATCTGAATCGGTGGTTGAATGATTTGTAGCGATGATAAAGAAATGGTTTACAGGAGCGAACGTTAAAATGGCGAGGATGGTGGGATGGCAACGTGGCTGGGATTGGCGAATAGGTCGAGCACTCTCATATGATGAAAAGTGGTGACATGATGAAGAACAGCTATGTATCCTTGCTATCAACGGCTAGATAAGAGAACGTGTTTACTTTCGTCCTGATGGAATAAAATGGAAATTGTCTCCTCCTTGTGGTGACGCCATGTATTCGGCCAACGACAAACCCATTGACGCTGAAAGTTGATCGGCTTTATTTCAGGATTAACAGCTGGGAAGTATTAGTTAAACAACAGCTATGCCCATATCTTTTATGGTTCTGCCTTTGCTCTAAAATCTACAGTTCGCCATTCTTAAAATATCTCTTGCGAAAATGTTTTAAGTTCAGCACCTTCCCTAGCATTTCTAAAGACAGCAGAAAAATTTATGGAAAAAAATTAACTACTATCAGAGTAGGTTCAAAGCATTAATTGCTTTATACTCCCTACTTGCTTTTTAATTTTGTATTCTTTTATTAGTAGCGAGACATCGTTATTTCTAGTACTTTTTTCCTTCAGAACGTATTAGAACAAGATAGCGTAATCAAGTAAATAAATCAGTTCCCCAAGGAGATTCTTGGAGCAGTTCGAAAACAATGTAACTCACGGCTACGTTTCGATTTCAGTAAAACAGCTCGATAGATTCGTGCCATGACTGGATCGATGTTGGCATCGTCTATCTGGAATGGTTTGATTTTGTCTCTTTTTAATCAAAGATGCGGATCCTCATTACCAAAATGGTAATGCTTACCGCGTCAGCCCATACGAATGCACTAAAGATGCAAGCAAAAATGAAAACGGCGAACGTTGTCCACTTCATCATGATTACCTGTAAACGAATGGAAGCCAGACTTATCACTCAGTATATATAAAAATCTGCTGCATGCTTAGTCTTATGCTCTAAGAATGTTAAGAAAAGCGAATCGGTGATCTATGGATCCCCCGATTTCCGATTGATTCTTGGTGATACGGTAGGAAAATAGCGTTTGGATGAAGATACACTTGTGTTATCAATGATGTTTAAGAATGATGGAATACAAAAGAGGCGTTGACTTGAGCGTGTTGCTAAAATAACGATCATATGACGTCCCAATAGTTAACTAACAACATGGCACAATTAGGCGATGTTGTTTTCTTGATGTTTGCTACTGCCCTTCACCAACTAAAAACTTTCACAAGAAAAGAAAGTAGATCGCTGAAGTCTTCAGTGATGATCTTTGCACCCAAAGATAAGTGAACATTACCACATTCTGAATATAGAGAACTATTTCAAAATCTACAACAATTGAATGATCGCAACTTCATGCCACCATGACTGAGATAAGATTTCACAACATTAAGAATTAGTTGAGATAATACCATGAACCATGAACATGTTATGAAGACCATGAACATGTTACGAATGAATATGGAAATCAGGCTTATATAGAAGATGCTGACATGATTAGTTAGAAGAAAGACATATGGGTCCTTTGTAAATCTGAAGGCCTATTCCTCTTTATAATTTCATTTATTGGAGGCTCATGAGCGTTGTTAAATAAATGCGTTGTGTCCATGTTCATGTACATACACATGCGTAAATTTATCGTTTCAGAAATGAGAATAACAACGATCATTCGAATTCGTTCGAACACTCGAATATTCGATAGTACTATTCTTTGCAAAATTCTACGACGACTACCACTGCTGCCGAACTAAAGCAACAAGTTAAATATGAATTAATTAAGACTGTCCCTTACTTTGTGCAACACAATTGCAAAACCTTTAGACAACTATCTTCACATTCTTTTCAAGTCTACGAGGCACAACAAAGCAACAATTTCGCCCTGCAGGAAACCAAGACCGATATGATTGACGTATACCAACCTAATGAATAGACTCTGACATCAGAGACAGGTTTCCAACACGAAAATACGTCGGTGTAAGCTTCCTTGTATATTCATTCCTTTCCTTATTACGTATAATCAAACACGATGTGATATTCAATCCTTTCCTACTTCTACTCAAAAGCGATGTGATGTAATCTCTCATGGTCGTCAACTTGCGCTTCCAGCATCTATTTCAAAACAAGATCAATAATATCAAGGGAAAGGGATGACAGAATCAGTAGATTACGTTCTTAACATATTCTGGAAGTTGGAGATCGCATCTCTGCTAGTTCGATGGTGTTTGCTTGACTTCTGATGACATGTCAAGCGGAGTTTTAATGTTGAAGAAGTTCCTGCCTCTACTTTGATGAAGACAACAAGGTACATGCACAGTGCAGTAAAGAGGTAGAGATGACTTGAGTGCTGTACAGAACGGCAGCCATATTCACACAATGTGGGAGGAGCATTCTCGCCGAAGGCAAGATTGGAAAATCATAAGATAATGCGAAAGCGCCACATACACCATCGAGAACGTTTGCTCCAAGCTGCCTAAGAAGTTGTTTCGTGCTACATTTGATGAGAGTAGTATCCAGAAGGAAAGATAATATTAGTATAGGAAAACCGTGATACTATGAGAACATGCAGAGTAATCTCTACGAGGTAGAGAATAAATTCCGTAGACTGCAGCGATAATAGAAGTTGTCATACTGTGTTCATATTCATAGGTTGTTTTCTGTTTAATTCTTTGAAATGAAAGAAACTTGAGCTGGGCGAGGAAATCCTTTAAGGCCCTAATCTTTACGGAGACCATAAGAAAGTCACATCCATCGGGTATTCAAAGTTTCTAATCAACATGTTGATGTAGGACTTGGCTCTGCTGAAGATACAAACACTATCATGATACGCTTTTAGACCGCTCAAGAAAGCTGCTGACAGGAAGTCGGTTCCAAATCTCTATATCTACTTGTTTAACTTTTAAGAGGAGGTAGGTCAACGTCGAATCGACGCCGAAAATTCTATGTGTCACATGATGTAGAAGTGATTTCCTTCCGAACTATTAGTGGTGCTTGAGAAGAACACTGGCGTGAGCTTCAAAAGGCTGCAGCTGTTCTCTAGAAATATCATTACAAGAGATGAACGGATGAGGCTGCATGTAGCCAACCTGAAGTCGCAGTTCTCCGAACTTGAATACGAGCTATGGATTTGGAAACGATATTTGCATACGCTGTAGCACATAGAACAGGTCATTTTTATGTATGTCATTTTCAACGAGAGCAAACAAAAGGAAAATTATGTTGGGTTGGTAGAAATCACGACGACGAACCATTTCAGATGGAGTCGCGCTGCCTCGACGCGCTCAAACATTCTTGGAAAACCAGAAATATATTATTGCAGTTTGTAATTATTTGACGGTCGCAGGAAGAATTTCAGGCATGTAAATGTAAACGTAAAATTGTCTTTCGATATGTGCCGGGGCGACTACTATGGTTTACATTATCATATTTTTATGTCAATAACAAACGAAGGAAATACTGACTGCATGAAATCTTAAAGCTGCACGAATTTTTATGGCTGCAGTTAAAATAAAGCAGAAAAACAAAACAAAAATAAGAACGAATGAAATTAACAAAAAAAGGAGTAAACTCTGCTTGTTGTAATCGAGCATGTACTCTTAGACTAATGTTAAGCGAATGATGGTGAATTGAAGTGGTTGCCAGTTGGCTTATCGTAGCCCAAAAGGCGGCTTGCTCTATTAAAATCATATAAAGTGTTCAAACATTTCTCCACAGTAGCTTCTATTACCACTGATTGTTCTGTGACGAAACGTTACCGCTTACTTGGGTTTATCATGCTATAACGTATTATTGAAAACAAAGTGTTGACAAATGGAACCGTGGCGCTCCAGCTTTTAAGAAATTTGCAGCAGTAGTTCATTCTAGTTTTTAAGCCTTTTAGTTTCCAATACCAACTAAGAATCTTTTTTGTTATAAGGTTAGAAAAACAGAAAATCCTTCGACAGCACGCTGGATATGTACGCCTAAATATGAAATCCTCGATTCAATCCTGTTTGGAACGTTGTAGGCAATCAGATGCATGCTGTATTCTGCGAGAAGTTCAGCACTTAAAGCTATTGAAACGAAATAAAAATTGAGCTCAGTAAACGACACGAGAACAATCTCAGCTTAGACTATGTAGCCTTATTTCTTTACGGTAACATGCCGTCAGAACGTATTCATGGCTCAACTAAAGGAAGCGTATCCTTTCATCGTGAGTTTGGAATTTGGATAAATGCATGTTTTAACGACTATATGTGTATCACCCATCATAATCCATAACGAGTCGGCTCATCAATATAGTTCTGAAAAGAAGAACATCATCAATACTGTAAGGGTCGGATCGCTTTATTGCAAAGCAGATATTCTGTCATCCAGTTGTTATTTATCATCTTTCGACTTATTATCACGTCCATTAATTTTGTTGGCACAGAAACCATCTTTGCGAGAAAAGAAGACATTCCATCAATAAAAAGCAAGTTCGGATGTGATTGCTGGAAAATGAGAAGATTTCAGCTGTTCTCTTTATGAGACTTCGTGTACAGCAATTTACATCCACGACACTAAGCACCTAGCAAAACGCCAATGAATCCGGGAAAATGATTGCCTGATACAAATTGTTGAAGAAAAAAAGTTTCTTACTGTGGCTAAGTTTGTTGTAGTTGTAAACTATAAAAGCATATCAAGTCAATAAAGAATAAAATAACACCAAATCATTGTTGTTTGATTTGGAACCTTGCCTGACAGTTCATCTGCCTCATGATTACCAGGGAGTGATTGATGTTGGTAATTCACCGGACAGTATTCTGGACATGATGACATAGAACTTGATCGCATTCGAAAACATTAGCCGCCATCAAGGAATAAACATCTGCTGCCAACACTACTTTTTAATTACTCGACAACATTTATTGTGAGGGTTGAGGTTGTTTACGGACCGTGTATTTTTGAACCTCATTGTTCACCAACTCCAAATGCTGAACATTTCATAGAATAGAGCACTCAATTTGCTACCCACCAACGGTATTCAGTTTACTTAACAAATTAGACTGAGACCCTACCTGTAATTTTAATGAAATGAATCACATGTTTTTAAAATCGTGGCATCCTAAGATGTTGATCAGTTTCGTATCGTTCTTCAATAATTTCCGACTTCACGAGTCTTCATTTATCTACCGGAAATTCTGGTTTACCTTTCTGATAGGATAATCTGGTTGTTGTTTTTCACTTTAATTCAGGACATCAAAATACACCCTACAGCACAAGGGTCTTAATCTTGAGCAGTAAATACGAAGGATGAGAACGTTTCAGTTTAAACATGAATTTTGTAAGGAAGTGATAGCATAGCTGAGAATATTGAGATAAAATGCGTTGGAGACAGCACGTCAGGAGTATTTAACATTTGCAATAAAAAATATTCTGTAACCTATATTTACTTCATACTTGAACGACCCGTCCTCACTAGTTGTGTGGAACCCAGCATAACCACCATTTTTCGGAGATTTGCTGGTTAAGCCATTGTGATTCTCTGGAATCCCGAGGACAGCCTGGCCAAAGTCTGGCATAGGTCGTCACCACGACAGGCAGTCGCAGCCCCTGTGGATCAGAGGGAGATTTGCCACCAAGCGACTACTTTGATAGCAAGACGGTGGTGGATTCTGGTATCAGTTTACTTTTAGCTGGGCTTTCTAATGGAAACGCCGGGCTCCTTCTAAGCTTGGAAGACCCTGTCGGGGGACGAATCTTTCCGCTGTACATTGCAGCCCGACACCCAGGAACACGTTCTAGCCACGATACGCGGTAAACCGTTGGAAGGGTAAGCTATTAAAGTGGTGAAAAAGGCATCTGGAGCGCTTTAATATTGTGGCTCTTTTATGTGAATTTAATAGAAAATGTTAGTAATGTAATACTTCAGGGGTGGGTAGCACAGTTGTAGTGATTTCTGTCATTATGATCATAGTTCTTGTTCTGTTCCGATGTGTGCCAGGCAAGCCGTTCGTCCCTCCGGGGTCGGGAAGTTGATACCGGACTTGTCTGGGAAAAAAATCACTCTCTGCAATCTAACTGGGAGCGCTCCAGCCCGGCTATGTTAGGTCTCCACGAAGAATCGCTCGACCAGCATTCTACGACACTTAAGGCGAAATGAACATCGTCAAGAAGCAGCCGAACCACACGTAAAAGTTGGAAGAGAAGATCTTCGTGGACAATGGATGCGTGGAAACGAATCGGTTGTGCGAAGTGCAGGGATCCGCACGGTTGACGTGAAGGTGGGTCATATAAAATTTAAAAAAATGTACTACTCCAAATGGTGCGGCTAGTATTTTAGCCCATTCATGTTCCACTAAGCATTAAATCTATTCACCTCTATCAAACTCGTGTAAGCTGAACAATGTAAACAAATGTTGATTAAGCACTAAGTGTTGAACGATGGTCTCTGATAAAATGTTCTGCAATGAAAATATAACGAAGAATTAATCATCGTAGTTACATATATAAATCTAGTGGGCGTTTTACTGGATGAAAAATGCTGTACACATAAAGATATCCATATATTAATGTAATGCTCACAAAAGCAATATATTATCCAACGGTTTTTTAAAATACATGAAGTACGCTAGGTTTATAGCACTTGAGAAATGTGAGTTCTGCGGAAGTGCTATTGAAAGTAATCTCATTTTATTTACTTTTTAATCGGATCAGACGAGGAAGAAACCTAGATTTAGTGAATGTACGTGTCTTCAAACGGCTTCGCACTGTTCCGATTGCATGAATTTTTTTAATCAATTTGATCTGCTTCGAAGTTTTATTCAAAAATAGTTGTAGTTACGACGTCAGTCTACTAATTGATTTTTGCCATGGTAGCTTACAACTCTTGCTTTTTCATTTTTACTAGTAACAACGGAAGCGTGTAAAGAGCAGAAGCTAGAGGGGTCCTACCATACAAATGTGGTCGCTGGTTCGATCCCGTGCTATATGATCAACAAGCTTTCTACGTCTCCGGGGTCGACAAATTGTTGCTAGACTTGAATGCAAGGATGGCAGCGCTTACTAATTCATCGAGTACACCACTGCAATTTATTGTGCGGCCAAATGTGCGTCTAGTTATTTCTAATGATAGTTGAGGAGTTCGACTGAACGGCGCATCCTTCCAGAATTATCAACGCTGAAAGCTTTATCCTTTTGTCTTTACTTACTAACGATTCTTCATAAGTTTTTTATTCTATGAATAAACAGACCACTTGATGACGAAATTTTCAACCCCTAATGAATCCATACTATTGATGATTTAGAAATTTCTTAAAAGAGGTTTCTTCACCTTAAGTAGTGACTGAATTTTTAAAAAATATTTTTAAAAACCCTGTCATTTTAAAATATTTTTTTAGTAGGATAGTTTTACAAAATATCGAATCTATGATTGTTACGGAGTAACAGTTTTTGCTTTTTTCATTCTCAAACACATTCTTTTCGAATGCACGACCATCACAACAATTTCTTTACTTCTTCTTCTAGTCTGAAACGTTTCTTTCTCTTTCATCAAAAGTCTATGTACGTAGACAGTTGTAATTAATACTATGTTCACCTGTTTCCCCCAATGGTCATAGGAACTGACATAACTTTAAGACTTTGAATGGCACCGTCACAACCAAGGCAACGACAAGTCAAGGAATCGTCACCAGCGCCAGTCAAACATGGAGTCGGAGAAAGATTTATGCCTTGTGAAAACCGATTTCTTTTCCGATGAGCGCAATTCCTGAGATAGGTTTACTCCTAGCTGAGTTCCTGGGAGCATATGTCAATCTTTTTCTCATCTACGGTGACCGTGCTGCGGAGAAATGCACTCCTTGCTGTTAACAGCAACTTGACATCTACGAACTGGTCTTAGAATGACGAAGTGGGCAATCTTTTTGTGAAGGCAATTGAAAATAAAACAGCCATGATAAAAGGCATGAGAATTGGTCAAGTGCCAATGTTTACGGAACTTATGAATTTCGTAGCATTTGTCAAACTCTTTACAAATGATTCATTGAAAAGAAACTCATCCTCTTAGATGATCTCAAACAAAAACACAATATCAGTAGGCTGAAGGATTTTATAAGGTTATGAAAACAAGGCAATACATTCACCAATGTTCCGGAGAACATCGAGAACATGTAAAATCACATGGAAAGTACTGTGGAAGATCGATTCCTTGGTGATCGATCAAGAAACGTGGAATAGGTGCTTCCACAAGAGAATGAGTTAACGCGTTTCTCAGATTACCATCAAGAAATGTAGTATTCGTCAAAATAGAACGTAGGAACATTTGCACTCTCAACAGTGATTGATTGAAAATAAAATTGATCACAAATACAGTGTCGTTCTTGAGAAATAGAGTTTCTCCAGTAATTTCACTTCAGGAACTTTCCATAGTAACACCGGCAGTGTCAAGATTCACATTTGCATGTAAGCCTTCCTTTAAATCTTTTGGTGAATCGAGTAGATCGGCAACAATTCGTTTCTGCTTGAGAAAATCGAACACAGCACGTTCATGAAGAATGAACTGCATACCTCGAGCATCTCCTTTAACAGGCATTTTTATAAGGGAAAAGCTACAATTAACTTGCCCTTTTCGATTATTTAAGAGATCAACGAAATAAATGATGTCTCACCAACTCTCAAAGCCCGAAAAACTGGTGCACTAACGAAAAATGCATGCACTCGTCCACAGAGTTCTGGAGCGTTAGCTGCTAGAGATCTGTCGAAACGAGACAGGCCTGTAAGCATTTCATAGTAAAGGCAGAGGTATTTTGAACGATATATCATTTAGAGAAAATGGTAAAAAAAAGATCGTCTTTAGTGAAAAATGCGGAAATGTGGATGCAACCGATTTTATGGGTGTGTGCAGTATCTGAAATACAGTGGTCATTTCAAGTATTTTGTCAGTTTTTCTTTTTCGACAATTCTCTAGTTTATGCCACCATCACCGCCACCAACCTTTGTCAACAAAGCGCTGCTTCAGAAGGTCGCAGACGGGAATCTCATCACTGCGACTTCGAGCAGCCAACTTCCGATCACTTTTTGACGAGAGAAAAACCACAGCAGCGTTTCTACGATGGGCGATCTTTGAGAACGAAAGATCTTCGTCAGATGGTGTTTCGTCGATTAACACAAATATCGCTGTGAAACTCGCAATATTGTATCTACTGAAAATAACAACTACAAGGATTCGAGTAGAGCTCACGATTCCCTCCATTTATTCGCAACTCCTCCTCCTGATTTGCATTTAATTTATGTGATTTCTAACGTATTTTAATCATTTATTTTTGTCATTGTTTCAAAATTAGGGCAATTCATTGACCTATGAGCACTCTTAACTATCTGACAGAATGTCTCGGACCCACAAAATCCTTCTTGCACTTCTTTTCTTCATCTCTAGAGTGAAGTTAAATTTAAACTTCACTATTGATAAGAACAGAAAGCCCTAAATATTATATGAAGATAAGATGGGCACACATAGAGCAGTGATTAGCAATGAATTGCTATACACATAAGGCTTTTTTCACGATCTTGCTCAAATGGTTGACGAAATCCTCTATTCTTTCGAGGCCGGTGAGCTGCTACCAACGTTGGCACGACAAATATACTGAACTGAACAATTCTTTCTAGTTCTCTTCAGCAAACACGAGGTGCTATTTTATTTCTTTATTTAGGTATAAGCTGACGTTTCGGAGAATTTTTTTGTGCACACAGCAGCACATTACGCTTCCATGTGAATTCTGTGCGGTTGGTCTTCACGCGACATACTCAGTGGAAGACTCATAGAAAGCGGCCCTGAGTAAGGCGAAATCCGCCGAAACGTCAGCTTGTTCGTGAATAAAGAAATAAAATTGCACCTCGTCTTTGCTGAACAGAACTAGAAAAAATTGTTCAATCAATGCCGAGGTTAATAGAAAGTCGGACGTGGGAGATACTGAACTGAGATATCGGTTGGTTCCCGCAAGTAATTTCATTGCCAAAATTATAAATTCAATAGTATATGCAATGAATGAAGTAGAATGCATAACACATTCTTGAGAGATTGAAGAGTGCTGGAGGCTTTTTTAGAATAACGAAATATGTAATAAAGGTGAAAAGCGTGGGTGTCTTGGTAAAATACCATAAGTGTAGAGTAAACGACATGATAACAATAGATATTATTCCACTGGCTTGGGTAATAGTAGAATTTACTCTAGTTTCAGTGAAATCACAAAAACATGCCGTCTTTGGGAGAAAAAAAAGAACGACTCACTCGATAAATTCAAAGTACGCACTTATTTTCTTTGGATAGTGTAATTCGAACAGTGTTACACTGTACTTGAGTAAGTCATCGTCGAATTCGAAGCGTTCGCAGGACCCGGGTTTCATTCGGGTCTAAAAGATCAAGTCATCATGAAGTTATTTTATAGCGCACGCATGAATAAACTGCTTTATTCATGAAGTCTTAGAGTTACCCTTGGTTATGTTTCCTTTACTCTAATCTACATCAACTGTGCTGTCATAGACTGATTTACGAGGGCACAAGCGAGTTTTCCAGTCAGCTCTCTCAAAGCTGTTATGTTGATGACCTCGCATGGGAAGCATGAAGAAGGCCAAATTTTTGCTGATTAGGGCGAGGGGGACCTACTGGTAGGTCATTAAAAGTGTATTCTCGAATAGCACGTCGGGCTCGATTGGAGCAGAGAGTGATTTACTTATTTTGGGGAAAATTTTGCTTCCTTCGCCATCTAACAGGCGCAGCCATGCGACTATTCAATCTTGGTTCTACGAAAATGCATCCATGAGCACATTTAATAGTTTGGTATTGCTAGTACTGTTGTTAGCTCTGGGATAGCAGACAGCAATATTGTGAAGAAACACCACTCGTACACACCTTTACGTGGATTTATTTAACCTCTCAACTTTAAGTCAAACGAGTTCGCCACTTTTTAGGGATGCACACGTTGAGTCGCCACCGTACAAACCTATCCGATACTTCTATAGTTACTAATGTTAACTTCTGTCTTTACTAAATGTAGTGCACTCAGTGCACTTCGAAGTCCCCTTTGTATTCGTCCTATAGCTGCCTTTGCCTATTAACTTTTCCTTCATTCATTATCCTTTGGTTCCATACCTTTCCAGCTGCCAGTGGATGTTTTGATGACATTCCTCTCATGGAATTTATTATCGCCGATTTTCCAACACCAGCTCCACCAATAAATCCATAATTGAATGCAGTCTGGAAGAGAACGTCTTAGTTCTGGTCAGTTAAAATATACTAAATTTAGTCCATACTCTTCAGCGATGTGAAGTTCGCACAATCTCAGACAATCGAACTTATGGGGAGTAAACGGGATTTTTTTTCAGCATTTATTTGTTTTGTTTCAATAGACCTTTTGAGCTGACAGTCACCATCTTCAAAGCTTTTCTTGCAAAATACCTAGCGCTACATCAACAAATGGAACGCATACTGAATAGGTCGAGAACTTCAAGCATAGCCCTTTTCATTCAAAAAGGACAATAGAGGCGACAGATGAACCTAGATGAAGCCCAATCCAACGAACCAGATGGATTTCGCAGAAGATTTAGCTCTACGTGATAAACGAATAGAACACAGCGACACAGTGTGGCCAAAGCTGTTCATGGACGCGTTGTGGCGATGCATGCACTCACTCGAATTGAGGAAAATAAATACGTATTCATAGACGATGTCCCACAACCCTTGCCTTTCCAAAAACATCACTCTCTTTTCAAGCAATACGCAATACTGCAGAACCACAGATAACGATTTCTGAACCCAATGGAGCAAATTCAATTGTAAAAATGCCTAGTGAAATGAGAAGAAATTATCCTGGACTGTTTACCAATTGGAGAGACGGTATTATTATTATACCTAGGTTATCCAATGAATAAGGATGACTAGTTGAGAGAAGAGCTCAGTAGAAGGCAAAGAGCAGCACAAGCAGTGCTCCTGCATGTCGAGGATAAGAACATAAGAGTGGATCCGGAGAAGGTTAAAACAGCCTCGAAGGGGAACTAAAAGTGAGCGGATGTCTGGAACAAATTTTTGGAGCTTCAAACTTCAGCTGAAGCTTCAAAGGACTGTGAGTATCTCCACGTTTGAATGTTTGTAAGATAACCTCAAGACAACGAAAAGAATGGAAGAACTGCTCGGTACTGCACACGTGAAAACGAATAATGGAAATATCTGCGCACGTAAACAGAATTTCAAGTATGTAAAACTTTCAACTGCTTCGTTAAATAAATCCTGTTTGCGCTTGTCTAGATTCACAGATAATCGCTTTTCCTATTTTGTCATAACTCAAATGCATCATCTTTTTGAGAACTCTTGCACTACTCGGAAAATTTGAAAAAATTCGATGAGTCAATAGGAAAAATTAGAGACCCACGACAAACATGAAACGACTTAGAATGTACATTACGATTAAAAGGATAAAGCTCTCGGAGTTGATCATTCTCTGAAGGATGCGCCATGCATTCGACTTCATTAAGTATTGTTGGAGGGATTGAATGCATATCTAACCTTTACAATAACTCTCGGTGCTCTACCGATGCATCGAGCCAGTGCTGCTATCCTCCCAGACAAGTCTGGTACTAATTCGCCGACCCTGGAGGGATGGAAGGCCGGGTGGGCCATGGGCACGGGTATCGATTCCACGTGTCTGTCACAGTGGCGCCTCCAACCACTGCGCCACACATTACGACTAGTAGGATTAAATTCTGTGCCGTTTTATTTCATGAAATTTAAGGCTCTTTACGTGTAACACAGTGTGACATTGTATTAGGATATGTACGAGCACCTTCATACACTAAATGAATGCATCAAAATGAACAATAGTTTGTAGTGGTAAGGAAAAGTGCTTACACTTACTCGACCTGATCGACGAACCGTCGATTTTGGCTCGAGATTCCCGAATACTCGATCATCAGTTCCAAACAGTATCTCGAAGCCCGCATCAGCAAGTATAGTGGATTTTTGGATGTGATGAGGTGGAAAAGACGATGATGTATCACGTGTGCGTTCCCCCTTAGATGTGGAGAAGTAATGATCATGCAGATTTATAACATTATAAAATTTTAGTCATCGAAATCAAATGTTATTATAAGCAGCAACGAAGTCGACTGTTAATACGAAATCGTGTCATAGAAGGACATACTAAATGTGGAAGGTCTTCGATGTTACGATCTAATGCTGTAGGTCTGTGCACATTTCCACCATCTTTCTGGAATTACAACATACAGAAGCGAACTAAACACTACGTGGTAAGTGATGTCAAACTTAACAAACTGCAGTAAGTATAATCTTATAAAGCTAATTAGAGGACGCCCATAATGGAAATATTCTCAACATCGAACATGTCTTCGCGATGTTCTCGTAATCAATAGTGGATTAAGTAAGTGTTTCTTTTAAAGTAGGAAAAAGATAATTTTATAAAACTATGAAAATATTACCACAATGATGCTGAGATGCTTGCAAAACTCTGGACCGCAGGTGTCTGCGTTGGGGAACATACGCGACATTACCCTTTCCGGGGTTAACGCGTTCACCACCTCACCATGCGAGTCTTTCGTTTTGCCCGTCTCCCAGCTAGCTCTATCGTTTAGCGCCATCAGCAGTTACTAAATGACGGGCGAAACGAAGAACCCAAATGGTGTGGTGGTGAACGCGTTAGTCCCCGGAAAGGGTAACATCACGTTTGTTCCCACCGCAGACACCTGCGGTCCGGAGTTTTTCAAATACCTCAGTATTACTGTGGTTGTATCACACGCAGTACTCTGCCATGAAAAATTGTAATACGAGGTTAATAAAAGTTAGCATTACGAAGATATTATTAGAACGAAATACTCACACTTTTTCTAAGTTGATTTTCTAAAGCATAATGACATCCTGGTTGAAGATCTACTAATTCGAGTAGTTTGTCTTCGTCCAACTTATAATGCAAATAGCTGAATAAACATAAATTTTTGGGGTTTCTACAAACATAGCACTTTTATTCACTCACCCGATTGTTCCACTGACTAGATTTTTCACCACCGGACTGCTAATCAGAAGCAACTCAGTGGTTGTCAGTATTTGAGCTTTTAACATCAACGACTTTATAAAGACACTCCGAGCTGAACTGATGCATTTCAACAAATGAACACCATTTAAAGTAAAAAAAAACTTGTAAAAGGAAAAGCATGTGGAAACCTCTGGCATCGTATTCTCTTTTAAGGGAATTGTCAATTGAACGACCGAACTCCCTAGACTCAGCGTCGAGGTCATCGTCGGATTTCGTCGACAGCATTGTCAACGGTGTTCGTCTGAAAATGGAAGTCAGTGGACCACTTAAAAAATTAACGCTCACTTAATACCTACATTATTTTCCGAGCTCTCGCAAAAAATTTTGGTTAATTAGCGAGCGAGGACTTCTCAGATTTTATCGCCATGCGATAAACATCGAGTTTGCCACAGAAATTCAAACGCATACTTGACAACACATTGTGGTAAAGCAATGTATGAATCGCTTATGAGACAGAGACTAAAATACTGAGGAAAAAACTGCCAAAACGCTTTTTTTGACACTCATTTTCTAGGCGCTGCAGAGGTGGAGATCTGCCGAAACCTCAGCTTTTTTGGATGAATAAACGATATAATAGCAAGTTAGCATGTGCTTATAAAGAAAACGAAAATTTATTGCCAAAAAGTTGGATACGTGTAATTTAAAAGGAGAGCGCTCGTATATTCTAGAAAATCCTCGGAAAAAATCTGACATTTAGCAATCACGGAGTAGACACTAATATACTGTAGAGAATGTTGCTAAAGAGATTTCATGCGTAGCAATTTTGAGGCGAACCAAAAGTGCTTGCATAGATTTCATTTAACAGACGACGTGGCCTTTACAGAAGTTATTCTAGTCGAAAATAATGGCCGATTCCAACTTTAAGTCAATATATCTCAGTTGATAAAGAACAAAGGATAAAATGCTTGGTGTTGAGATCAATCTGGAAGAAATGTGCCATACATTGGGCTTCCTCAAACCTCATTAGGGGCGATTGAATGCATATCTGGCCTTTACAATAGCTAGCTATAGCCTCCCGATGTATGATGTCAGTGCTGCTGTCTTCTTAGACAAGTTTAGCATCATTAAGATAACCATGACGGTTGTAAGAATTGCTGAGACCAGTGCAAGGGATCGAACCAATAACATCGTGTGCGATGCAGGACACCACTAGCCAATGAATCACGTTTCCGCTCACGGCCAATTTTATTAAGTGCTATAAGAAGCATAAGAATCTGCAATTATTTCGTCCCAAAACTAAGGTTAGCCAGTTTTACCACAACAAAATCCTGATTTTCCGGAGCTCACGACGTGGGTTCCATCCACTTTTTTGCTTAAATTATCATGTTTCGAACATGAAAATAAATGAACAAACGGGATTGTGTCTTCCAGGATGCAGTGCTGTTCTCCAACATATCATTCATGCTTACAGCTGTCACCCTTGTGTTGGAGCCTTTGAAATTATTAAATGCCATTTTCCACTTTTTGAAAACCTTGATTCTAAACATATTTATATTTGAAAGTACAGCGTTTAAGAATTGCATATTCGACTAGTGCAATAGAGTGAAATCTTTCTTGTAAATCAATCAAATCTACAACACCTGTAATACATTTTTGAGAAAAAAATTACCATGAATTGCCGAAAAAGCAGCTCCGTCAAGAAGAATTAACTCTGAAAATGTAACGAAGTTGGTTGTTTGATAAATGTACAGTCTTATTGAGGAGCGTGTAGCGCAGTAGTCGGAGACGCCCTGCAATACAAATGGGATCATTCCCCGCGTCCCAAACTAACCATGCTCTCCTGCCCTCCGAGGACGGCTGATTGGTACCAGACTTGTTTGGGAGGATAGCAGCGCCGGCTGGATACATCGATATACCATAGTGAATCATTGAGAAGGCGAGATATGCATTCAATCATTTCCAAAAGATTTAATGAAGTCGAATGCATGACTCATCCCTCAGAGATTAATCAACACCGAGAACTTTATGTACTTTGATAGGACATCGAGATTTTAAAACCTCCTAAGAAAAAAACCATGTAAAAGAAACAGATTGCAAGTACACTCTAGGAGCTCTGGAAGCCAGCAAAAAAAGTGGAAACAAAAGTCGAACCTTGAGTGAACGATCCTTGCGAATGAAATATCATCATCATGCGGAGCGCCGTCAGCAATTAAAAGAAAAACTCGACGGAAAAGATTTAACTTATGCGATCTGGAACATAAGGGTGATGATGAAGCAAGTAAATTATCAGCAAGCAACCCACTGCTTAAAGATAAAGAGTGAGGCAAAAAATGTCTTGTAGGTAGCATTCACTAAGTGAAAACATTTACTGCAGGTATATCCTCATGAGTATAAAGATTACGCGAAAGACTAACTAATATAAAAAAGGCATATCTAGAAAACAAAGCAAGAGAAGTTCATTAGGAAAAAGTGGGAAAAACCTGCGAAGTTTCTAGCAGGCTAAACTCACGATTCTATAACACTGAAAACCACACTCCACCTATATTCAACAAGTCTGTGAGCAGAGAGGAGCGTGGACTGTCCTGTCAGCAGACGAAGACAACTAGATTTGTTGAAAATTTTAATAAAATGCAGTGAATGTAAGAAGTGTTGCAGCTTGGATGTCATGTGAGAAAGGCCATCTGCATCACTAAGTATTACAATATTGTCGTAATAGTTACAGTGCGTAGTGGTTAAACAGATGGCCTTTGATTTGATCTGAACTGAGCCAACAAAGTCCAAGGTTCGGCAAATTTACGCCAAGCTTGTCTGAAAAGTGGAATGATATTCTCGATCTAAAAAGGACAACAACCAATTGTATTCAAGCCCGGCAGCGCTATTGAGGGTTATATTTCACTGTCCCATGAATAATAAGTTCGACCACATTGAAAGGCATTCACGAAGAAGACGAAATTAACAATTACCAGCCGAACTTACGCGCAAACGTGAGCAGCTTTGTAGACGATGGGCGAGAGACAACGAATCGCAGGAAAAGAGTAGTGGGAAACGGACAATAAATGAAGATATGTCATATGAATCAAACGTAATCAAAAGCAGTAGTATTAACGTTTCTGTTTAATAAAGTGCTATTTTTTTCCTCTATGTTCCATTAATTTTTATTCAACATCACTTACTCATAAAATCTATCGAAACCCATGTTCCTGTCATAGATATCTGAAACCGATGCGAAGGCTCGTGGGTATGGTATCTCCCAAAGTACGATATTTTGCAGTTCATCCTCCAAGAATCTACAAATACAAGTAAACGAAAACTATTTTCAAATCTAGAGAATAACATCACTTCAATAAAAAAGCGAAAATAACTAGTTGCAGTTTTGTAAAAATTGTCTCAAATTATGTTGGAAATTTCGTTCAATTTCGAGTGATCGTGCTCTTTGGTTCTTTATGGATTTGACCCCAATCCTAAAAAAGCCCTCCTATTAACAACGAAGCTCGGAAAAAGGTACCGGAACGGCTCCATATTATTACACGGGTGTCGACCGGCTGCTTGTGGATCGGTAAGGGTCAGTCCTCGTAAAGCGTTGATCAATGTGGATTTGCCGGCACCTTGTCTTCCGCAAAATCCCATATTAACGCGTGTCTGAAGCCATCTGATTTTCGGAAAAGGAAAAGACTAGTACAATGATTTGTATAGAAACCTCGAAGGCAAATGTTCATAGCCTAAACATTATAAAAATATGAAAGAAAAAGTTAGAAACCTATTCTCACCGTGTCAATAGGAAATGCGCCAAGTTGAAATGACATTCCACTTTTAAAGGTGTAGTCAGTAACCGGATTATAAACTGGATATTCATCGAAATTTGACTGAAATCGAAGTGGCCAAATAGCAACAAAAAAGAAAAAAAGGATTTTGAAAGAAAAAGATCAGAGAACTTGCAAAAATCCGATGTTTGGAAGTCGTACAAAAATTGGCCATATTTCCTTACTTTTGTGGTGGCAGTGGTACTTGATTCAGTTAAGGGAGCATAGCTGAATGGTTGAGTACGCTCATGGAAGAGGAAGTTCCTCATTGCTTGAGATTCCTTAGTGACTTTCGGTCTATCGGTTGTATTTAACGCATCAAACTGGCTGATGCAATCCTAAAAATGACGTATACGATGTGAAAAATCCACCGAACAACTATAACTCGTAAAAATACCTTTGCATGTACTATATTTCTTTTAATTACAGGAAGTCCAGCTCGTGGACCTGGTGGTAGGGGTGGTGGATTTGACCCGTCGTCTGACTGCTGAATGAAACCCAACAAAAGTAGAAAAGCAAGTGAAACAGCAATTGTGAAGCAATCGTCCAAAACCACTGTTGTTATCATGTTTAAAACAGATATATCTATATATATTTATATGTATTTATACGCAGTGGACCAACTAGTGATGGACTTCGTCAGGAAGAAAGGTGTTGGTTCAACAGCCTCACCAACGCTCTCTGCCAGTTCACTTTGGGAACGTCTTAGTCTTGCTATCTCCAAATTTGCAAACAGAATTTTGATGACCAGGACTCTATGGCAAACATAAATAAGACGAAATCCTCAGGAGGCATCCGAAACAACACACGAAATATTCGAAAACCTTCGTGAACGATGAATCTGAGGAAAACGAATCGAATGCAAGTGTTGGGATCCTAGGGCAGATGTAATGAATGTAATGATGGTAATAATGAAAATTAGAAAAGCCTATCTATAGAAAGGCCGTTGGACAGATGTAATTTTAAGACTAACAATTCAAAAATAATGTCATTGGGCGAGTTAACTTCAAATCAGCTTCATGCGGAGAATTTTTTCAATGAATTCATTTTCATCACTAATCGGCCTCGTTATACAGTAATTATAAACTGACTATAATGGTACTTTCACCAAAGTAGCTGCCACCACAATTATGAAGAGCTTCCTCAGGTGGTGGAGGAGGTGGTCGATCTGGCGGAGGAGTCCCAGCTAAAACCATCGTCTCACGCGGATCGAGCTCGAACGTACTAGATATGACAAAGCATTAGTACAGCAGGGTAAAATTGGATAAAGATTACTAAAAAAGACCCAAGTCTGTAAAAAGAGAAAAACGTGTGGAGAATGGACGTTTAATAAATGCCGCATGAGAAAACTGGACAAAATATTAAACATTAACATATCCACCTTCGATTTAATAGTTAAAGTTTAATAGTTTAATAGTCGCTCAGCGATCCTAGTAGTAGTAAAGGAGATGAAGGGAGAGAGAGAAAAATAACGCTGGAGTGTAGCCATATCTTAATACCACCAACGGCTTCATTAAGGGAGATTTAACGAAAAACTTCAGAAGTGCTCTTTCAACGCCTTTACAACCCACTTTCATATTAGGATAAAAGGCATGTTATATTAAACACTTGTTCTGAAATAGAAAAGGAAGGAATCTGTGTGCTTAATCGGAAACGTTGGCCATGGTACATAGACTAAACGTCGATAACATTGGCAGGATTATGGTCAGGATTCGAATAGTGTAATTTGAACAAAAACGAGAAGCGTTATTGCCTATTGATTTCACTGGTTTCATTTCTAGTACAGTCTTTATTTGTTTCAGATATTTTACCGATACGCGCGATTTCCAAAATGAATTCTACCTAGGAATTGTAAAATAACTTCAACTCTACACGGCATGGACGAGGTTAGTAACATTGCAGTTAGTTTAATAAAGACAGAACAGTTTGATTAACTAGTTCAAACATACAATTGTATGCTAAGAAGTACCTGTGGAGCATAGAAAAACTGATTAATCGAAAAATATGGTACCTATTATTTGGTGTAGGTGGAAGTTCGTTGGGAACAGGATTGCCTGCACAATAGTAACTGGAAGTATGAAAGCTTAGTATTAGCATATTTCGCAGGATTGTTTTACATGCGATTAACTACAATATTCCTATTCGAGAGTGCAACGGATCGGAAAAATTATTAGTCGAAGATATAAGAAATGATGTCATAAATACCATCCATCCAATGGTGTCGGTAGTGATGAAATAGGCTTCGGTCTTTCGAAATTATCCATCGACGACGAACGGGTGATGAAAACATTAGGTATAGGAGCGGATGAATTCGGAAGTGCTACGTGATCGCTTAGACGACTTTTGGAACTTCCGTTCCCCATGTCACCTCAGAATGATGTAGCTGAACTGAAATGAAAACAAAAGAGCAGAACCAATTAAAGAATGCAGGTAGGTTTCTTTAAAAAATAACAATTCGTGTGGCAATTTCTGCCAATTTTACCGCTTTACAGCTTTAAGCGAATCCTGTCAGCCTGTTAACGTGGACAACGAGCTCATATTACGTAGCTTGGGTGGTGACGAATAGCCACATAGAAACTGCATGTACCAAACGACGCTTAGCTATGTAAAATATGATATGTAATGGACGTCAACGCCTACCGACTGTACGAAATTCATCGCTATCGATTCTGAAACTGGTATATGATCATAAGTCGAGATTACAATCAAAATTACGAAATCGATGCTGCTTACTATGCACGACAACAGGCCCAACGCCGAATATCGTCCAGTTGAAACGAGCACAATAGTGATTCCCACGTTATCTGAACAAATATTAAAATGCTTAACGAAGTCCTTTTATTATTGGCGAAATAACAAAAACAGCATTTTATTATTGGCGAAATAACAAAAACAGCAATTTGTTATTGACAAACCGTTGCGCAAAGGCACTCAATTACTACGGATTATGTCGAGTTGTTACCATTCACGTCCCTTATGTTAGAGATCACGCACCGGTTAGTTGCCAGACTGCGTGGCCCGTCCTCAGGTGGTCATAGGTGGATGATTGATCTGGATCGAGCTATATGTTTTGTATATGAGTAGTCATAAGCATAGATATTTACATGCGTATGGCAACAAAAAGGTGCACACTGTTTTATTATGTGTAGACTGAGCTAGAGACCACGTGCACACTGTTTTATTATGTGTAGACTGAGCTAGAGACCACGAAGAGGAATGCAATTTGCTGGAGACTATATTGGGGGTTGGGGAGGGTGATATTTTAAGATCACTTTTAACATATAAGCTTCACATCTACCTCAGGAGGCAAAGACTAACTGCTCATGATTATGTTAAGGTTTCACTCCAAAGTCGGACAAAGTGGCCATGAGTATTGTTGTGTCAGAAATTGTACAAACGGAAAGCTTCAAAGCGCGATGGTTCTCGTGGAGCTCAAGGGCATGGAATCTAATAGGCAGCCGTGGGCAAACGACAGAAGCGGTAGTAATTTAGACGATGTTGATTTGACATTGTTTTCGATATCAAGGACACCCACTACAAATCACTCATCGGAGCTAGCTGGAACAATAGTTGAAGATCATTACCTCACTAAGAAATTCGCTGATTATTTCCTCATGACCTTAGAAAAAAATTAAAAACAATGGAATTTTTTGCTATTTTCTTTGCAGGCTTTGTCTTGTGAGTGAATCAATGACTCAGTTCTTGACGAAAAAGATGGCAAAACTATCGGCGTTGGTTTAGCCCTGAAGGATGCGCCAAGAATTCGACCTCATGAGTCATCGTTGAAGGTGACTGAATGTACATCTAGCTGTTAGAATGACTCGCTGTAGCCTATTAATGTGTTAAGCCAGTGTTGATACCCTCCCAGACAAGTGTGGTACCAATTTGCGGACTCCCGGAAGGATGGAGAGCTTGGTGAGCCAGGAGTGCGAAAATCGATCCCATGTACATTGCAGGGCGCTTCAGACCACTGAGCTACACGCGCCCCTGTTCTTGATCAATATTTACATTCCATGCAAAGTGAAAACTTTTCCACACCTGCTTATCTTCATCTAATGTTGAAAGGCCAATTTTAAACTCAATCCATTTTGGACTGAAAGGTGGGTTATATAGAACGCATGAAAAACTGATTAGTACAACCTTATTCGGCTTAACACACAACGCCCGAGATATCTTATATATGTGGCGGGGTAGAGGAAAGGCTAGGGGCAAAGTATGCGAAGTGCGCTGCATCTAGTGCGTTGGTTTTGATTGGTTTATCTTGCTATACAGTGTTCTTTTTGCTTCGTCTCAATCGAATGCTTGTCCATCACAGATGTGAAGTAAGGGGTAGCTCATAAGAAACTGTTCCCCACTAGTGGCACGTTGACCATTACTTTACCTGACAATTGACTGTTACGTAATTCCAATCGCCATAATCAATCATAGTTGTAGCATGAAATGAACAAGTAAAAGATAGAAAAAGGCATTCAGTCCAAATTCCAAAGCATTTTCACGTGCTGGCAGGAATTGTTGTATCGTGGAGCACACTAACACGGAAAACATGCTAACATGAACACCGAGCGTACCTCTATAGCGACAAAGTACAATCTCTTCTGTGATCCCGTGATATTCCAACCACTAATGTTCTCTAGTTGTAAAAGAAATTATCGTTTACTTTTCAAAATATTGCAACTTTGTTGCCAATATCAAATTAGGTGTAGTCCGTTGTAGCAGTCTCGGAAACCTGAGTGTTGGGCATTATGTGTGTGTTATTTTGATACAACGATACAGAGGAGCTAGGATTACTCGATCCAAGGGTGAACCGGTAAACAAGAAGAAGTAATAACTCATAGGCAATGGTTTACTAGAAGTGGTTCTGCACAGTGAAATCTAGTAGACAGCACGTAACACGTCAGAAAAATCCATAACCTTAGCATGCTATATTTTTCCCAAGAATTTACATACAGGAATGCAACAAATAATTGGCGCATTCCCCTTTCAAATATAATATCATTCCTTTACAGCGACTTTCATAAAATGATAATTGATATATATTTTGTTATCGTAAGCCATACGTACACATTTCTATTACTTAATAGTAATCGCCAGTAAGTGATAATGGGAAAGAGCTACACATTATCATAGATATTACTAAAACAAACATATAGGATAAAATTAGCAATGCAAAGGATCATACTGTAATACAAACAAATAAATTGAGTACATCCAAATAGCATTTTTACAGTGCTGATCAATAACATTGTTGCATACATACAATAATCGCCATACACTTTATGAAGTTGGTATAAGATGGGAAACATCGAAATGCCTGATCGAATCGCTTTAACAAATTTCGCACCCTAAGAAAGTGAACATGTGACGGAATTCTTCAGTGTTTTCTTTTTTGGTGTTTCGTCAGTGAATCCGTCCCTCAATTCTTGATACCCATCAATACTATTTACATTTTCATCTAAAAATACAACTAAATAATCAGAAATGTGCACTACCATTTACTCACACAGCAAAATCCCGCCAACCTCTAGTAGTTGCTGTGACCTCCCATATAGAGCGTTTATAACTTCGTAGCAAAAAGTAGGTATTCATTTCTCCTTTGCCTTTTATCTGAACCTTTCCCCGTGATTCAAATTCGAATCTTCCAGTTTGCTGCGCACATCTGTAAAACACCACCGTAATTCAAGATCCAGTTTATTACTGCACACGAGTATTATTGTTTGAATCAAATTCGGTCCCACTAATTTCATTGCTCACTATAATTGCTCACTAGAATATGAGTAAAATCAATTTTTGAAACAACAAGCTGTTTTGGTCACTGCTATTTTACTTTCTTATTGCTAAGGAAATGTTCCTGAGTTACCGAACTGTATACAAGGCAACGAAAGTGAACAAAGAATATCAGGGTACAGCAACTTTTATGTGAAAGCACTTCGACGTTCGATTTTGAAAGCTCCGAAAGTCCAATCCAAAGCAGACTAGCATTAATTACCATTTTCTTCGCACAGATTTACTATAAAAGCGTGAAGTCATCCACCAATCCATAATAGTCGTGATGAAGTTTCTCGAGACTACTTCAGGATCTCACAAAAAGCAATACCCAAACAGCAAAGATATTCTATGTATTTATAACAACAGACTAAAACCCTAGAATAGGATAAACCATAGGAGAGTTATATGAAGCAGGTTCTTCGGATTTACGATAAAGATAAGAGACCTACTTCAATAATGATGAAAAGAAACTCCAATGCTGCAAGTACGTTCTCTGCTTGGGAAGAATAAGAAAAACTAGTCGCTGGGTATGAAAACTCCGTAATCATAGGAGTCACCTAGAAATTTGTAGCATTTCATTTAGATGGGGAGTGATACCGTCGCAGATTATTGTTTTCCGCGTATGATGTGGGAGAGCTGCAAGCTATATATAAACTTTGCCTACGCAGTTAATATATTCAGGAAAATTCTACCGAAGAGCACATGTTGCCAATCATAGTCACTAAAACTGTGTCGAATCCAATTCTTCAGTCAAAAAGTTCCGAAAGCACTTTCATGATCACCAGCAGTAATTTAAAAAGCAAGCTCGTAGCTTCATTCTACTGCTACATATTATGTGGTTCATAATATCAGTTTCAGTAAAATTTTGGAGCAGTAGCTTAGCCAGCATAAGAGAAAATTGCACTAAAAAACTGTTTGGAGATCATTCTATCTAAAACTGAAAATCTTATGAAGATTATTATAAGCCGTACCACCAAAGCTAGGGCACACCACAACTGAATCTATTCTGGCAAAAATCCACACACTGTATCCGTCTTATAACACGCGCACACTCATTATTGAGCTTTTTGTACTTTCCGTCTAATATTCTTGTTGTATGTCTTTTTGCTCACCTAAATTCTTTTCAATCTCACTTGAGAAAGTTTGAACAAAGCTCAATCACAATGTTATCTTCTTACTTGCTGCCTACCACAGCTTTTCCACAGTAGAGTATTATGTGCAATAGAACCATGATGACGCTGAGATATTTGAAAAATTCCGGAACGCAGTATCTGCGGTGAGGAACGAACACGATATTACTCTTTCCCGAGGCTAACACGTTCACCGTCCCCCATTTCGCCTTTCTCTCAGGTAGTTTTCTATGTACCAGTGTCATCATTGTGGCTGTATTGCACATAATACCTTGCTGTGAAAAATTGTACCAGACAGAAAATAAAAAATAACGTTTTGATCTCTGCCATCAGCAATCAGCAGTCAACGAGATTGAACTGAGGAGACTAAATCGGCAACGAACCCAGTTAAGCTGAGGCTTTAGTTATAATTACAATCTTAATCGTTTTATTTACTGCCTACTCTTTTTTAAAGAAAGGGTATATTGCGAAATATTACTTCAACGAAGCTGAGATATTGGCAAAACCCCGGACCCCAGGTGTCTGCAGTGAGGAACGAACGAGCTATTGTCCTTTCCGTGATTTCAACTACAGCCCCGCCTTAATTGTCTTCAATGCCGATTTGTGCTCACCAGATCAATCTCGTTGACGGGTAATTGCTGATCGCACTGGTAAATAGAAAAATAGCTGACAGGCAGGCGAAACGAAAAACCCCCGTGGTGTGGCGGAAAACGCTTTAGCCCCCAAAAAGGGTAATAGCGCGTTCGTTCCCCACCGCAGACATCTGCTGTCCGCAGTTTTGCAAAATCTCAGCATCATTGTGGTTTTAAAGCAGTCACTAGGAAAAACAGGATTCTGATGGAACACTGCTGTATAAAGCACATTCAAGTTACAACTGGTGTTACCGAGGTTTGTTAGAAGGGAATCGGTCTCTTGCAACAGTATATGACAACATTGGAAGAACATTTGACACTGTCCAAACGAACAGCAGTCTGGTAGCGCTTGTTAACAAAGAAGCTGAATGTGCCTACCATGCCATGAATGTGAATTTTAGCTCGTCAATGCCAGAAGGACACTCTTAGAATAGAACACGGCTCTATCTGGTCGAAGAAAAAACTCAATCAAGCAGAAGGTGCCAAGTCTGTAAAACTATTAACATCATTCGACTAGAATGCAAGGGCACAGGCGTTAACGTTAAGTTTAAAGCTAAAATTCTGTAATTTTCTTCGTATTTTTGTTGAGCAAACGCGAGGTGTTATTATTCTTTGTTCACGATTAAGCTGACATTTCGGCGGATTTCGCCTTCCTCAGAGCCTGGAAAGGTCAAGTTGATAGCAATCTACTCGGCCAGACGCCTCCATAACCAAACAGACTGGATTTCTGGGTCGTGATGTTTCTGGATCGTCTACGTACTGCGCAGCCCAACAGCGCGTGCGTGATTGAGTCCTTCGACGTTACCGCCATTTATACAAACGTGTCGAATGACTCCGCAATGCAAGCCATATTCGAACTCCTTACACAACACGAAGGAGAAATAAACATGTATGGTTTCAGGATATAGCACCTGATGGCACTCTTAAAAGAATGCTTGAGCTGCTCAATCTTGAGATGATCTGGAAAGTACTACGCTCAAATAAGAGGGTTGGCAATGGGACAACGACTGGCTCCAAGCCTTGCCATTGCATTTATGTCTAAGGTGGAAGCACCGGTGACCGATCTTAGGCCGCTACTCTACTGTGGGTATGTAGACGACTGCTTTATCCATTGCTCAACACAAGAGGAAATGGACAAATATTTCGAATTGCTAAACGCACAGTCAGAGTATATCAAGTTCACCAGAGAAAAGCCGAAAGAAAAATGGCTTCGTTTCTGAACGTACAAATTCACCTATCAGAAAATGGCTACATTACAAAGTGGTACCGAAAGCCAAGTAGTAAAAACATCTTGGTTCATTACCTCTCCTCTCACCACTCTCACACGAAAAGGGCGCTTATAAGAAACATGTTTCGAACAGCAACCAACGTGTGCACGGGAACAGAGCAGAGAGAGGAGTCCCGGAACTTGGCACGGCAAATAGCCATTTCTAATGGCTACGAAACTGTAGCTCAGGATAGGTGTAGAGGAAATCGTAGGCCTTCAAACGACAACTCTACCGATAGAAGGGTCCCGTTTATCCTACCCTTCATCTAAAATGGTATAAGTACAGCTATAAAACGCTGCTTAAGAAGGGCGGGCTTAGAGAATTCGGTGAGCGTAGTTGAAATACCACCGAGTAATCTTAAGCGCCAGCTAGTTCGCAACCGCCTATATGACCGTCTATGTGCAACTCAAAATTGCATAATTTGCCCCAGTGGTAGAGACGGTGTTTGCATGAGCTCGGGTATAGTTTATCTAATCTCCTGTAAGACGTGTGGTGACGAATACATTGGCGAAAAGGGTAGACCCCTCTGTGTCCGCATGAAAGAACACCTAGCCGGCAAAACTAGACCAAATACCCCGCTAGGCACGCATTGGACCCAGAGACATAACGGGGACGACTTCGAACTATGTGTCACGATCCTCGCACGCGAATCAAGAACACAGGCGCGAAAAACTCTCGAGGCACTCTGGATTAATTCCAGAAGTCCGAAAATGAACCGCAGGGAAGAATGCCTCATTATCACGCGTGATATAGGGCAGTATATAAGACTGCTATTCTGATGGGAGGAGCACATTATACTTCCATGTGATTTCTGTGCGGTTGGTCTCTACGTGACATACTTAGTGGAAACCTCATAGGAAGCGGTTAGTGTGCAAAGCTGTGTTCAAAGTGATTAAAATCTTGGTTTAGAGTTTCTTTGTTTGATTATAGAGGCGTCTGGCCAAGTGGATTGCTGTCAACTTGACCTTTCGAGGCTCTGAGGAAGGCGAAATCCGCCGGGACGTCAGCTTAATCGTGAACAAAGAATAATAACACCTCGCGTTTGCTCAACAAAAATACGAAGAAAATTACTTGATCAATGCCGAGGTTAATAGAAAGTCGGTCGTGGCAGTTACTGCAAGATGTACCAGCTAAACTTCTGTTTTACCGTGGATATCTTCATTTTGTTTCGAGAAGTGATAGGAAAACTGAAGCCATATCCAAAGAGTTCACCTAAATCAGAGAGAAAGCAAAAATGTGAATAGATTAGAAATGTGCCCCGCTTATAACACATTTTTGCTGCGATGGGGAAGAAACTAGAATGACAGCGAGCAAGGAATATGGTGTTTTGGATGAGGAACACTAAAGAAGATGGACAGTAGAACGAGACAGTTCTCAAATCTTATGAAAAGTGTTCGTCTGGTGAGGAATCCAGATAAGCATTTCCCCTATCTGGTTTAACGATTGAACTAATTTGTTCTCTATGGCGAATATCGACCACGTGTGTGTAAGAGTAGAAATCATGTAAACGAAATTAACTCATATATTGATAGCACTTATGGAACGGAAAATGATATTTACATACAGGCATAATTCACCAATAAATTTTCGTCTTCATGGATGATGGCCACAAGAAAACGAATACAAATTATTTTTTGTTCAAAATTCACGGCGAGGTTAAATGGCAGTAGTTTTTAAAAAGTAATGATTCTCTACGTGTTTGCTGATATAATACCGATTACTGCAGGATATATATTGTCCTCAGAAATAACTATCAATATCAGTACACAATCAACAACAACCATTCCGTATAATAAAAAACTGTCGTTGTCAAGTTGTCATTCTAATGGAGCACCATTGTAGACGACTCTACTCGATGTTACTACGACGGCCCACATCTCGAGGATGAACGACTTGTTGCCTATCGATGTGGATCAACAGCTCTGAAGAAGACGAACACGTTGAAACTTTAGCAGAGTAAAAACTTCTATGAAAACCTCGCGTAAACTGCACGATTTGAAAAAGTATCAAGTTATTCTCCCAAGGAACAAATTTAAGACGGGTTGCTCAGGTATACAAGTGAAGAACAAACGGGTTGTTTCCAGCCAATCCCTTCAAACCGTTTAAAAATTACTTAGAAATAGTGTCAGTCGAGAAAATTCAACACAGAAAGCAACAATGACATAACCAGATAAACGACATTGAAAATCAGTCCAGAAATTTAATGCCATAAAAATTAGGATAGTAAAAACACACTCATTGGTGGAACTTACAAGACGGCACTTTCACTACAATGTATTCGGCCAACAGGACTGTGACTTTCCATACGAGATGCGGTATTTACGGTATCACCAAATAAACAGTACCTAAAAAAACACATTCGGCTGCTGGAAGTTTTAAAAGAAACGTCAAAATATCACGCTATACCTCAACTGCTCAAAAAAAATGTAACCAATAAAGTATACATGGGGAGAAACTTACTGAATAGTTATAGTTGATAGTTAATAATATTACTAGTTAATAATAATATATATTAATATTACTAGTTAATATTAATATTATTAATAATAGTTAATAATATTACTGAATAGTGCTTCTAACATTTCCATGCTTCAAAGTAACAATGCATTAGTCCCCAGGATCGACTATCTATTAACCTCGGCATTGGAATATGAATGCGTCGTTTTCTTGTTCAGCAATCGCGAGGTTTTTAAACAGCATACATTTACTTCCATAGAGAAACACAATACAATACAACACTAGCTGACCTTTCGGCAGTATCGCTCTCTTCAGATCCCCTTTTTGCGTGACTTCCAATGAGGAAGTTTAGAACAGCTGATTAGGATGTGGGATGGTGCAGTCATCAACCACACGCGACTATAATCAGCTGTTCTAAACTTCCTGATTGGAATTCACGTAAAAAGCGGCTCTGAAGAAGGCGATACTACCGAAACGTCAGCTAGCGTTGTATTGTATTGTGTTTCTCTATGGAAATAAATGTATGCTGTTTAAAAACCTCGCGATTGCTGAACAAGAAAACGACGCATTCATAGTTACAATGCAGTTGAATTATAATGTTCATTACGTATCTGGCTAACTAGCGTCTGCATTCAATCGAGTTCCTTGCACCAGTATAACAAATATGCCCTCTGATTCAAATATTCGAAAATTTGGCCCAACACATTTGAATACAAGGTTTCTATTAGTTAAATTTGTTCCAGAATATCTCACATACCTTGGCATTTTCGCGCCGACTACACCAGCGACCACAGGACCTGAGTGGATACCAGCTCGAATGTGCAATGGTTTACCAGAAATTGGATCAATAACATTCCGGGCCTCCATGAGCATACCTGGAATTGAAGAACACTAAGGATAATCGTATCAACGACAAACGCTAACCGGTGGAGCAATAAATAGTATAGATATTGACTGATTTCATGTATTTTAGTCACAATCCGATTCCTTCTTATTTTTAAACCCCATGACGTACTTAATGTGGATCTAGGATTTATAACGAGTTGTGGAAACAGCTAGTGAATAGGTTTCTGCTTTATCTTTAGCAGGTGAGTTCAATGATAAATTAGACGAGACCGTTTATGCTATTTCAATGAAAAGTTCTGCGTATAAGACGTAATGGCAGTGCAAGGGTTCCATGAGCACCATACCAAACACAGCAAAGCCGGCTACCAGTGAGTTAAATATTGTCAAAAATGGTAAAAAAGCGAACTTCTTCGCATGGAAAATGTAATGGTTTACATGTCTATCGAACTACAACGTCAAGAATCATAAACTGCTATTGCTCGGTTCAAATATGTCGATCGTAAGCGGGACAAAGGTAGTATTGGAAAAATATGGGTTCATAAATGTTTAAATATTTCCGAAGAACATTGAAAAAGGTCCCAAAGGAAGGTTAGCCTAACGAATTATGTGTTTAAAGAAGTAAATCCGAAGTTTCTAAGCACTTTCACAGCGAGAAAGTATTTCAAAACAGAACTGCGATGTTCAGCATCATCTTCATCTGAACATTACAGAACTTAATTTTCTTCGTATTTTTGTTGAGCAAACGCGAGGTGTTATTATTCTTTGTTCACGATTAAGCTGACGTTTCGGCGGATTTCGCCTTCCTCAGAGCCGCTTCCTATGAGGTTTCCACTAAGTATGTCCAAAGATTTCCACTAGTATGACATACTTAGTGGAAACCTCATAGGAAGCGGCTCTGAGGAAGGCGAAATCCGCCGAGACGTCAGCTTAATCGTGAACAAAGAATAATAACACCTCGCGTTTGCTCAACAAAAATACGAAGAAAATTACTTGATCAATGCCGAGGTTAATAGAAAGTCGGTCGTGGCAATTACAGAACTTAATTTTCTTGAATAAATGAGTAAGAAAATGGCAAAGACAACATTTTGAAAGTTCCTAATTCGTCACCAGTGCAACACCTTACGTTTTGAACCTAATCAATTAATAAAAAATTGGAATACTCTGACTTCAAAATTTAGTCGAACACCTACTCATCTGATAGTAGGTTTTTGAAAATATAACATGATAGCATAAATGCACATTTTATTTTGCTCAGATACGTCGGAATATTATTAAAAGCGTACCAAGTGCCAAATGGCAGATAATTTCGCAGTGATCTTCAACGACGTCAGGTATTCCACCCACGGACATGTAGCTATCACCGACAGTCTCGACTTTATAGGCCTAAAAGCCATTCACGCTAAAAATGAATAGAAAATGAAATGAAAAATGAAATGGAATGATAAATGAATTCCATTTCGAACTGCATCGACGCACTTTTTGAAGAACAACCAAACGATCGAAACGGGTGAATAAGTTGTTTAAGAGGTATACAACATCTTTTGGCTGACATATCGGAACGATTTGTTGAAATGAAGGCACGTCGGCAAACATTACAGTGGCTGAATCATAATCACCTGAAATTCACCACGGCTTTTTCCGTATCACATGAACTTAAGCACGTAGTGGATAATGAACAAACACCATTCTAAATGTTATACTCTGCCCAAACATTCTGTTCATTTAGTTACAAAGGTGAACAAAGGAGACGAAGAATTAGACGAAGAGAAGAAAAACTTAAATAGAAAGAATTAATGTCTGAAGAATCTCAATTTCCAGGCAAAAAAGTGGAGCAGTACTATCGATGCAATTCTCTGAGAACTCACGTGCATCGACGGTGAGACCAGACTTCAACTGATGAGCGACGGTAGCTGGAAGCATTTCGCTAAGCAAAGCATCTGTTTTCCGTTTTTCAACCTCTAGATCTTTTGCCATATTTTCGAGTTGTTCATTGCCTGCCTCCAGTTGTAAACTGTAAGGAGTTAGATCACGTTTGGAAAGTTGCCGAAAAAAATTTAAAAAAAGAATGAGATAGTTAGGGTCAGATACAGAAAAATAAAATGAAGTAAAATAAAACAAAAAATCTAAACGAGAAAAATAAGGTGACAATTTTAACTTATTATTTACTGCCTGCGAAATATAACCTCAATGATACTGAGATATTTGCAAAACTCCAGACCGCAGGTGTCTGCGGTGGGGCGCGAACGCGCTATTGTCCTGTCCGGAGAATCTCAGGTGATTGGCTGAATGCTGATGGCAAAAGATCGATAGAACTAGCTGAGAGACAGGCGAAACGAAGGACCCGCGTGGTGTGGTGGAGAACGCGTTACTCCCCGGAAAGGACAATAGTGCGTTCGTTCCCCACCGCTAGCGCCAGCGGTCCGGAGTTTTGCAAATATCTCAGCATTACAGTAGTTATATTTCGCAAAATACCTTGCCGTTAAAAAGAATAGGCAGTAAATAAAAAGGTTAAGATTGTGATTATCTCAGCATCATTGAAGAAATAAGATGGCTAACGTTGCCTATGAAACCTTTGAAAACCGTTATTTAGCTAAAAATATTGTTCCATAGTGACGAGATATTCTTGTACAGCAAATGAGATGAGGGAAAATGCATCCACAGAGTGGTCCGTGCTATCCTCATTTTGAATGGTATTGAATTCCTGCGCAAACCTGATTTTCAGGTACTCCATGAAGTCCGTAAAGGAGGTATTTTGTGACAGAATTTTTAAAGTACACTATGTTATTGAAAAGGACGTTAGAACTCGAGGAAACAGTCCCGAAAGGAGTTCCATGACACTTTATAGCTTGTAGGAGGTGTTTCACCGTGTTTTCATTTCAGATGTGGAGGCACAGGTGAACTTTCATGCAATGTTCTATTTAAATGTTCGACTTCTATGACAGTGTGATGTGTAATTCTTAGTTAGCGTTTAAGGAAATCTTGATAAAAAAAGATATTACGGAAATTCCTCAATAGAAAATGGCTACACCAGTTCTTATTTCTCAGAACAAACTTTTCTAGGGAATGAAAGACTGAAAAAAACAATTGGTATCTCCATTAGAAATAGAGCGCAGTAGAAAGAAAGAAACACAGTTATCACAAGGGGCAAAACTTCGACAAGACCGGTGAAGGACGCGGAAATTCGACTCGAATCAAACAGTGCAAAGTAGTTCAAAAAATTCGTGGTATGGTCGTATATATTTAGATATATTTTCAACATAAAACTTCGGCTTACTTCATTTCAACATCACTGATTTGTTGCTGATTAAGCAGAATAAGGTCCCTAGTAGCGTCATGTAAAGGCATAGCTGTGAGTCTCATTCCATACTGTAGAAGCTCAGGAATAGATGTCACGTACGGGGAACACAAATAAAGCACATGTCGTCCTGAAATTTTCCAATGTTTTTTTCGTTTTCTTTCATTCAAAAGTGTTGCAAGAATTTCGGTAAATTATATTGGAATTCAGTGCTTACATCTTCGTTCATAGTATGGAAATTAAAAACCGTCTAAATCCTTTAACTAAGAACCACTAATCATGCTTCGAAATGGTGATGAGATCCTATGCAAAATAGGAGACAGCTTTGACTAAGCTGACATATGACAAAAGACATTTTTACGACAAGATAAATAACCACGAACGTGATGACTTGTTATCAATTCATGCCGTCCAACTGCCCTATTTACGAGTGGAACGTGTTATAAAATTATAGCCTTAAACTGGTAAAAAAAAGTGGGCAAATTTTTCTACTTGAAATTTTGGTGTTAATTGGGAAGAATAGTCGACCACAAATACAGGTACATAAAGCTAATGGGGTCCTATTCTTTTAGTCCGAGATAACATTGTCAAATTCTCGATAGCATACACACCTGAAGCCAGTAACATCATCTGTCCTTTTAACTTGAGATATTGGCTTTGTGGCATGTGATCGACGCTACCACAATCGTTATCGCTACCATTCCTGTAATTTTGAAACCAAACTAAGCAATTTTTAATTGTGTTTCAACTGTCTCATTACATTTTCACCTAGTTGTAAAAGACTGCCCTTGGAAAACGACAGTGTGAAAGGAAGTTAGCAATTCAAAATACTAATGGTATCAAGGATAATCTTAATCTAAGGTCGCTTTTATAATTCTGCATTGCCGTCCTAATTGACACCTATATTTTCCAAATAAAAACGGAAGAGTTTGCACAGGATACAACGCACTTCGTCCACTTCACTATTACTACCACGCATGCATAACATAAAAGGCATGTCGGACTTACGTGGCAATTACGAAAAGAGAAAGTGGAAACCTGAAGTGACATACTTCTCCAGTGTTTGACTGTTGCGTTTCATTGAATTCTTGTGAAATTCTATTGGAGTTGTCTTCACTTGTAAAACAAATACTGCATTAATGAAGTTGCAAATAGATTCGAAATCAAGAGGAATTTTTGGTCTTGTCACTTCGAATATTCGAATTAGCGGTGTTCCGCTAGCCAGAAGATCACGCGGGATATGGTTGCTGAATATACGGTTAAAAAACGTTTAGTCATGCAATGACCTTCATTCAGTTGTTAAAAATTTCTCACTATAGCGCCCTGCCAGCCTGAACTAATTTGCAGTCTTGATCAACAACGAAATGATATGGAAATGTAGTGATAAAATCCATTCTGCTTAGTCGAATCTTAATATCGAATCCTGGAGCAGGTCGCTGATCTCCAAGATTATGTAGAGAGTCGTTTCCAGAGCCATTAGCAGAACTTGGCTGAAATGTGTATTTATTTCTTTGTCAAAAAAGAATAAACTAACAGCTTCGTTTATGCCTATCAAGAAAATAGCCAATATTAGCTTCATTTCAGGCTCAAGCTTGTGAGTTCGAGATAGATTTCCATGCAAGTCTGGTAGTAATTCCCCTGCCCTGGAGGGATAGAGTGCATGGCCTGGTGCGGTGTCGAGCAAGAGCTACGCGTGTTCTAAATGGCATAACTAGCGTCGTGCTATTAGCTCTCCGAAGTACATCTTGTATATTATTGCCGAATTCAACAGTATCAATGCCACTATTACCGTAAATATTTTATGTAACAGGACGTATGCATTGGAAATTATTCTGGGGCTCACACAACCAGTGAAGTGTGGTCATCCAAGTATCCAAGTAAGTACAAAATAGGAACTCATCGAAAATCACAGCTGCAGTTCTCATGTTCTTATGTTCTATTTACTATTCGTATGTAACCATTAAAACGTTAATATTTTAGTGATGCTGAGATATTTGCAAAACTCCGCACCACAGGTGTATGCGGTGGGGAACGAACGCGCTATTGTCCTTGCCGGAGAGTAGCGCACTTCACCACCACACCATCCGGGTACTTCGTTTTGACTGTCTCTCAGCTAGTTCTATCGATCTTTTGCTATCAGCAATCACCCGTGAGCGGGATTGATCTGGGGGGCCCAAATCGGCAACGAACCCAGCTAAGCTGAGGCCGCAGTTATAATCAGAATTTAACGTATTATTTACTGCCTATTCTTTTTAACGGCAGGTATGTGAAATATTACTTCATTGATGCATATATCTCAGCATCATTTTGAAGTTATATTTCACAATGTATACCCTGCCATTAAGAAGAATAGGCATTAAATAATACGTTAAATTGTTAATATTTTAATTATAAACGATTTATTAGAATCATTAATTGATTGACAGTTGAAAGAGCTGTTCACAGCAGCTTATTTATGAATAAAATTGAATACTCAGTACTTTTGAGATGTCAAATTTAGAACATTATGTGCGTAGATATGGTGAGATAAAAGTTCTACGATAGAAATAAATAATAGAAATATACTGTTTCTCAAATAATACAACCAAAACCTTAATAAGAAATATAACGTGTTCCTCGATGCGTTCACCAGTTGCCATTTGTACACTTCGTTGTGTACGTCCAGTTGTTGTGAGATTGACGTCAAGCTCAAATATTCGCTTTGATGCCTCTTTTAGAACCCCTATAAGCACCAAATTTAAATTTGATCTTATTCCCTCACAACTGATTGCTTTGTTGCGCTCTATGCTAACGAAGGTGAAAGGGTGAAATGACAAAGCGCTCGGCATTGTTCAATCACGTGTGGATGAGTTATGCATTCGAATCCACTCGTAGCATGGTAGAGATGACTGAATTTTGAGATAGAGTGCCGATGTGGAGAGTCAAGTCGGCCACCTTCCCCTGCAAATATGCCAATATGCCGACCTAGAGGGGCGGCAGGTTTTTCGTGAGAACAGGGAGTGCAATCGTACCAGCGCGCGATTTGCATTTGCACGAATCTTTGGCCACTTGGCTATTTGCCTCTCACTTGCTAAGAAATATATTGCAACCCAAAGCTGCAAACGTGAATGAGATTACTAATATTTTGCGTACATATCATGGCATTTTCGGAGAAATAGGAAGAATATGTCAATGAAGAGTCCGAAAGGACGAAAGAAGGAAGATGGAAGGAGGAAGGCGAAATCCGCCGAAACGACAGCTTGTGCGTAAATAAAGAAATAAAATAGCACCTCGTGTTTGCTGAACAGAAGTAGAAAGATATATATTCATTGAAGAGTGATGAAATTTTTTCAAGTGACCAATATTTAGGGCGACTATTCTACAACGATAGTTAGCAAAACTAAAAAAACTAGTTTAAGAACACCTTTCACAATTGGATAAAGTCCTGGTCTGCTTGTGTAATAATGTAAGGTTATTGTTCCATCAAGATTATCCTCACAACGGAATGATGGTCCTCTCAAATTTGCCTTGTACACGACGTGATCAATGAAATAGTGCAATGAATCAAGATTATCAAGAAAACCCTTAAAATGATAGACTCAAGGTTGACAAATTGATCCATGTTCCATCTACAACCAAGTAACCTTCAAATTTGGGCTCATTGAACGAATTAAATCGTCCCAGCCAATCTCCATAGTATATTCGATGAGAAAAGCTCCATACATCTCCCACACTTGTTCTCTGCTGATTCCTATAATCAAAACAAGATGAACATAGGCAATTGCAGATATATTCGAAGATTTGACGACACTCACTTGCAATAACACTGACGGCGTCAACAAGGCTGTAAGTGTCAGAATCCGTATAATAATGGTTTACAATATTCTCCTTCCCGCTCTCAAAACAAGCCCTTTCCCTGAAGAAGCTCAAAAATACAAAAACGTCCAATAAAACTTTACCTTTGAGCAACACCAATGTTAAGTGGTTTTGAGATATCGTACAGTTGTTTTACATAAAGGCGTAGGTATGTTGGTTGGTATTGAATTTCAAACATTCAGAAGAAAAACGAAACCGTTCTTCGTCTATTTTCTTTTTTCGCCCAAAGAACATATGCAGGTGTGAGGTAGGATGTCACCATGGCAATGAGAACATAACCAACTTGCCTCCACATTTGTCAAAAACATCCCCTTCAAAGAGTACAAAGTAACCTGCAGTATTTCAACATAGAACAATCCTCACTGCTTAGCCGAATGAAGCAATCTGCGAGTCTCTCCGCGTTGACCAATCCTTGAGAGATGCACAATGCATCCGAGTGATTGAATCCACATCTGTCCTTTACAATGGCTGACCATGGCCTACCCATGTATCGAACCAGTGCTATTATCCTCCCAGACATGTCTGGTAGCAATTTGCCGAACCCGGAGGGATGGAACGCTTGGTGAGCCTGGGGTGCAGGGATCGATCCTAAGTGTATTGCTGTGCGCCTTCAACCACTGCTCGACACGCGTCCTGAGTCGATAGCAATAGAAAAACGCGTTCTGACAAGATAAATTACTTAATAACAACTTTGAATGGTTGACAATTACCTATGACAAGCAACTGAGTGCTTAAGATTGATACTACAGAATTTTTCGAGATATCGGATCTTTACTGTTTTCAGGTTTTTTTATGACTACATTTTTTATCAAAGGGAAGAATGGTGATTTTCCGAAAAGTTAGGAAATAAAGGTGTAAATAGTGCTACTTACAGAACCTTGCTCCAAAATTCCTCGCCAAACTTTCTTAGCATTAACTGTCGAATACTCTCATGAATAAAACCAAACTAGAAAACTGACATGAGAAAAAAGCAAAAAACAAAGAAAATATTAAGTAACCAACCATATCACAGGGCTAGAGGGTTTGTAAACGTTATACGATGAACCATGACTCTCTGGATGAATAGTTAATAGACACGCCATCATTTGGCAATAAATATGACATGCAATGCTTCAAGAAATCCTATAATTCTAGTACCGTGGATCAATTCGGACATTCTTAGGAGTTATTTAATTTGTGAAATATTGCAGTGTGGGAAATCTTCAAAAGCTTTACTCCCGCCGACGAGTGGGTGAGGAAATGAATTACAGATATTGGAACAAAATAAAAACTTGTAAATGCATTGTTAGCAAACATATTTCTCAGAAAAGTGTTTTTTCCTAAAACAATAGGCTACTTTCAGATGAGAGGCGTCGAACTGGTTTATTACGAGCAAAAAAAAGTGTGGACGGTCTTCATTTCTTTGATGCACCCAAACCAGATGTTCTTAGCCGTCACTTTTAAAATAGTTTTAAACTGCTAACGATTTTGCTGTAAATTTTGCTCTTGCAATGATATGGGCTTGTATAGATATTGGCAATCTACACTATCTGGCACCCAAAATCGTGACATCGGACGAAAATCAGGTCGAAGAATTTCGTATGAAGCTGCTGAAGGTCATCAGCAGCAGCGTCAATGTGAACAAGAACTTCACTCCTGCAGTCGCTAAAAGGAACAAAACGAATGAGATGTGTATGTGTTAATGAAGACACCTATGCTGTAAACGTGGTTAAAGGTGTCCTTCAATGCGCCTGTTGTTGCTGGCTCGATCGTGAGGCATGGATAACCAAGCCCACCTTATGCCCAAGTTTGGCAAATTGGTAAAATTTGTATCAAACTCGTCTGACAGGATAAGAACATTGACTCGATACATCGATAGGCCGTCGCAAGTGATTATGTAAGCCAGATATACCTTCAATTACGCATATTGTGTTACGAACTCAGGGATTGATCAAATCCGAGCGTTCCCCCGTTCCTTCGCCCTTTAAGAAAAATGAATAACTGGTTTACGTTAACTCCTACATCGATATCATACTACAGCTTAATATATAACACTTGTCGTCTTCAACTATCGTCGTGTTGATGGTCGAGTGACTCGACTGGGCGCCAGCACAATTATCATTCTTCCCTGTCGTATGCAAGAGTAACCCAATGGATATGTTCTCTCTAAGGGCTCGCCAAGCCTGAAGTAGTTCTTTCAGAGCTTCCATGAACAGCTCTGATCATCGAGTCAATGGTCCTCCTACTATGCCTTTGACATCGAGAGAAATCCAGGTGCTAATGGCTATTGCTTATCAGTTATCGTTCAGACGCACTACGTGTCTGGCTCATCTTATTATCGACAGTTTAAAACGGCGTCTCCGATTTTTGATCGTTGACCTGGATTGGAGTTTCAGATCTCTTTTTCAGTTACGTAATTAGCGACACTTGCAGCATCCTCCTTCCCACTGCCCTTTCAATAACGGCGAGTGATACTCCATCCTGCTTACGTAGCTGTCAGTTCGAAAAGGGGACACAGCGGAGTCAGGTGTTCTTTGTTATCCTCTCAACATTCCTGATGATCTTATCCTGATGATCTTAAAAGCTCTACAAGCCGCTCGCTTCTTTATGATAAACCCTAAGCTAAGCCTCCAATCAACTTGACTTCTCGACCTAGATAGCCGTAGCTAGAGATTCGGAGAAATCCATTTCATTGAGTCTTAGCTGAACATATAAAACCAATCCGATTTTCATAAACACCGTTTTCGTGAGGTATACTCGAAGACCAAATTTCCAACAGGCGTTGCCAAAGTCGGCTACCATTCGTTTCAACTGATTGGCGGTATATGAACGGGCCATCAGCAAAAGTTCTCTCATGAAACGTGGACTTCGATGCAGGGAATATACACTGAAATCGTTATGAGTACATGTTCGGATTAACGAAGTTTTTCCAAGAGGGAAAAATGAGCAAGGCCATCTTCATTGTGGTATGTCCATACGCTGCATAAAGACATCTTCACGTAGGAAGTACCAAATAACCTTCTCCTCAATAACTTTAATGTACATTGTCTGCAGCAGCGGCAAAAACAAGAGAAAGACAGATTGTTTTTGTTGTTTCTTAATCGAACCATCTAACAATTGTTGCACTCCAGAAGAAAATTCACCACAAACCCCACTCATTTCTACAGTGCTGCGGAGAAATTATAACTACTGTTTCTCAAATCCTTTGCATCCATGTTATGGCTACCTTAAAAAACCATTACCAACAGGTAGACACCGTTATCCTTATCAATCTTGTGTCTGCTTGATCTTTGGTACCTTAATATGCAGACTTTACAAAATATCTCTCTTACAAATGAACTGTCGTGTTGCTGGCGAAGAGATTTTATGCTCATTCGCACTGTACATTTGTATCACAATAAAAATTATGCTGTTGATCAACATTAAAGACTACAAGTTTAGATGTTAAAACTATAATTTCGACAAATCCACGTCAACAGAAAGCGCGTATGCAGTAGTTAGAGGGGTCCTGCATTACACACGAGGTTTCTGGCTCAATCTCACGCCCCGATTTCATCAAGTGTTGTATACTTTCGAAGTAGGCAAAGATGAACTAATCCTTTCTACAAGGATAGTAGCATCAGTGTTATGCATAGCAAAGTCTCCATGAGTCATTTTTTAGGCCAGATATGCATTCACTCACCTGCTTGGTGGAACTGAAAGCATGGCGAATCCCTTAGGGACTGGTTAACGAAGAGCGCTTTATCCTTTTTATCTTTTATTCTATTTATGGGAATGCGAATTCTAAGATATGGAGAGCAGACGGATCCAAGTATTAATAAGGAATAGAATCAAGGAATTGTTAGGGAGAGCAACAGTGTTATTTTGGTTCCAAAAAATTTGTCGTCAGAATTCGACGTGGAAGCTGAGGAAGGTAGCGGGCTAACTTCTCATACTTATAACGATGCATTGTGGGCATTGGTAGAAGCACAGTACAACTGTATGATTGAGAGCTTGCAGAAAAACTGAAGGTAGGCATCTCAACTGTTTTGGATCATTTGAAGAAAACTGGAAAGCCAAAGGAAACACGATTTAAGAATTGAACGACATTCGAAGAAATTGCCATAGCGAGGCATTCTCGCAAATCAAGCTTAGTCGATAGAGCAGTTCTCAGATAGGACAACATGCTGCCCGCATCCACAGAAAGTTTCAAAAGCTAGACTGCGAAACTCTGCCTCATCCACCACACTCGTCCGGCCTCTCGCCTTCCGAATAACACTCTACAAAAAGTGCCTCGACAAGTTTCTCTACGAGGATGCTTCAGAAACCAACCTGAAACCGAAAGTGTCTTTAACAACATTATCGCCTTCAGTAGTCCAGGCCTTTAGGAAACTGGCATAAATAAATTTGTTTATCGTGTATAAAAATGTGTCGAATGCAAAGATTTTCATTCCGATTAATAATATTTATTCTGCGCTGAG